GCGCGCACGGGGGCTCTCGCATACCAACGCACACACGCGACGGATGGTGCTCGCGCGCGCGCGAATCCTCGTTCCACGCACCTGTTCCTCCGTTGTTGTTGTCGTCGTCGTTCTGCCACGGCTTGCACGCGACAGCTCGTGCGCCACTTTATCTTCCAGTTGCACGTCGAGAAGCTGCGGCTTGACGGCTCTAGAATTCGGAACTTCCCGTCGCGAATCCGTGTTGTTTCGACTCCTTTCCAGGACGAAGGAGATTCGGGTGGTCTCCTGACGGACATATACAGGGTGTCTCACCCGATTTTGACATCTTGATTTTCTCGCTATTGTTACCGGTAACAAAAAATATTTCAACGGAGGCTTGAATGGTATCGAGTGGAGCATATTTCGATGTTATTCATTTCTTCGTGAGTGGACGCGTAAAGGTCGTACTTTAGAATTATTTAAATTGAAATTATTCCTGAACTACTAACTTTTTGACATACATAGGTTAGTACTTTTTCATAAGGAATATCCAGCTGCATCGATTGATGTATTACAAAATACCTCATTCCATTTAAAAAAACAAAGTTGACCTTTATATGACCTTTACGCGTCTACTCGCGAAAAAACTAACAACATCAGAATATGCTCCATTCGATACCATTCAAACACCACCGCTGAAACATTTTCTGAATCTTTTTCAAAATCGGACGAGACACCCTGTATACTTGTCACGCCCAATGGTGTTCTGATTGTCGTCGGTTTCGATGAAATAAATATTTACCACCGTATAACGGACGATGCAAGCACGACTAAACACGAGGAACGATAAATATACATTGTTTAGTTTCTCTGTGCGTACGATACATTAAGCTAGGACATCGGGCTGATTCGCCGCGTCTTTCTCGGACGCTTCCAGGCAAACTCGCTCCGCTCGCGAGTGCTCCGGTAAACTCGCGCTCGAGCACGCGAGGTCGCAGCCTTCCCCCTCTCTCTCTTTCCCCTTTCTCATTTTACGCGTCTCTTTGTCTTTCGGCTTCCACGGCGTCCCACTCGTCTGTAATACATTCTCTCGCACTCTCGCTGCTTCTCTCTTCTTTCTTCTGTCTTCCTCTTACTTCATCTCTTTCATTATCTATCTTTCTCTATCTCTGTGTTTCCCTCCCCGTACTCCGACTACCTTCCCCGCGGCATCACAGCGTTTCCCTTTCTCTCGCCGACTGTCTCGCGCGCGCGCGCGCGTCTTCCGCCGAATCGTGTTTACGCGAAGAGAAACCCGCGTGTACGGACGGGTCCAGAGTTGGGCAAAATGTAATCTAATTGCAAAACACAAACAATAATTACAATGCACTTGCAGGAGAATTGCAATTACAATGACAGTGTAATTAACTATACTACATTTAGAATACAAATTACTATGTGTTTGTAAAATTATAATGCAATTGTAATTGTTCGTGATTGCGATTTAGATTTTGTAAGTAGATTACTTTTTGCCCAACTCTGTCGGATACCATGGACGTAGCCGTAGGGGCAGGGAGCCCTTGCCACCCTAAATGGAAAAAAGTAGCTTTTGCACTAGTCTAACAGAAAAAAAATTGGATTTTGCCTCCCACCTAAAAGAAAAAAATTAGATTTCACCCCCTCCTCACATAAAAGAAAAAAAACTGGATTTTGTCCTCCCGAAGGAAAAAAAATTAAATTGCCCCCCCTCCCGACTGATAACCGTGGATAGCAAATTCAGCATCGAACAGGGTGCAAGGAAGAACGAAACGGGAGAATGACGAATTTGTCGTCGGTAGAACGAGGAAGAATCGTGAAAAGAACCGACGGGTGATTCACGATATCCGGTCAATTTAATCGGCGATGCTGTTGTCACTCGGTCGCGGACATCCGCTTCGAATGTCGTGTCGTGTCGCGGGTATCGCCGTTGTTCGCGCGTTAATTTCCATTTTAATCGAGTCGCGACGAAGCAGCCTTCCCTGGAATGGTACGAGGAACCAGTCGTTGGTATGTGTGTATGTAGGAATCGCGGTGAATCGCGTTCGAGGGTACAGCGTGGCGCCGCGCCGTCTTGTCTCCACGCGACACCGGCCGAATCGAAAAGTCGCGGCAGCAGCCTGCCTGACTGCACGCTCCTTCTATCCCCACTCTACTCTACCACAACCTCATCCTCATTCTCCTTCACCGTCGCTGTTCTTCTTCCACTTCTTCTTCTACTACTTCCTCTTCTTCAATTTCTTCTCTTACTTCCCCTTCTTCTACTTCTCCTACTTCGTCTACTCCTCTTACTTCTTCAACTTTTATCTACTTCTTCAACTTTTATCTACTTCTTCAACTTTTATCTACTTCTTCAACTTTTATCTACTTCTTCTACTTCTTCTACTTCTTCTACTTCTTCTACTTCTTCTACTTCTTCTACTTCTTCTACTTCTTCTACTTCTTCTACTTCTTCTACTTCTTCTACTTCTTCTACTTCTTCTACTTCTTCTACTTCTTCTACTTCTTCTACTTCTTCTACTTCTTCTACTTCTTCTACTTCTTCTACTTCTTCTACTTCTTCTACTTCTTCTACTTCTTCTACTTCTTCTACTTCTTCTACTTCTTCTACTTCTTCTACTTCTTCTACTTCTTCTACTTCTACTTCTTCTACTTCTTCTACTCGCCCTACTTTTTCTACTCCTCGTACTTCTTCTACTTTTTCTACTTCTTCTATTTTCTCTGCTTTTTCTACTTCTTCTAAGTCTTCATCTTGTTCATCATCTTCACATTCGTCATAATCGTCCACATTTACCGAAGCATCGCCTATCCCAATCGCGTGTAATGTATTATCCCGTATAATGTACTTTCCTGTCCGCCGAAATCCTAGATAAACGAAACTCACCTAGTCCATTAGGCGAAACGGGAAGAATGAAGATCGCCGGGACCAATCGTGCCGCGATGGAAAATTTCGCTCGACTTTCTAGGCTCGGATGCTCGTAGGTTTGGCCGCATTTTTTCCGAGCATAAGTAGCGATAGGTTGGTCCGATCGGTGCGACGCCGCGGCGGCCTGTGAGATTCTATGCAAATACCGTTCGTTTCTCATTGCTCGCTGCCACGCCGCCCCCGGATCGCTACTCGCTCTCTTCGTCGAGAAAATCCTTGAGGCGTTGAAAATCTCGGCGCCCGCGGCGTACCGTGACGAGCGGAGCGCGGAAACGCGCGAACGAAAGAGCGAGACAATGGACGAGGGAAAATTCCGCGCATCGCGATCGAGAGCGCGCGAGCGAACGTATCGATCGCACGCTCGATTGCGAAACGGTGTATATATATATATATATATGTGTACGTCCATCGATTATGCGAAGCCTCGTCCACGGCGGTGCGTGGCCGGCCGATTTCCTTATCCTACGACTTACTCTCGCGTCCCATCGGCGTCGCGACGCATATCGGTTCGCGATTTATAACAGAAACTCTTTCGTAAACGACCGCTCGATTCTGGCCTGGATTACAGTTTTTTTTTTTTTTGTGGCCCTCTCGATTATTGTCTGGCTTGTTTAACACGATTATTGTCCAGGCGCTATCAAACACATACTTCGTTACCTCGGATTTCGGGCAGATAACGAATTTACGAGGGTCTGAAGCATTTCTGCTTATAAGATTACTGTCACGACACGGACCCGAGTTCGGGACAATAATCAAGATGCGTCTGTAGTACGATGCTACAGATGTATTACTGGAACCTCACCTTTGCAAGGTGTATACTCCGTTCTGACTTTTACAATAAATCTCAGAAAATTGAAATTTATCCTAAATAAGATTAAATAATATTTAATTCATTTCTATATTTAGTGAAATATCTAATTATTTCAAAAAGGAAAACAGTAAATGAAATATCATTCAATTATTTTTTGACGTCAACGGAAGATTTAGAACGAGGTACACCCTGCAAAATGGGGCCCGGGGCTGTAGTCACCCCTAACCCCTCCCCTTAATCCGGCGCTGGCACGATTCGCTGGACGTTATTGCGTAACTGCGCAGGCGACTCGTGGAAACGGCTCCTCCTCGTCTCCACGGACTTCGGGACCAGGTTTTTCTTGGAACGACAGCGAACCGGTCGTTATGGTTTTTCGAAGAATGAATACGCGCCCGCGGTCTGACTCGTGAAAATATACGAAGATCCAGCGCAAATATACAGACGGACGGAAGGTTACGTTAACGATCGGCCGTGGTGGTTTGACGCAACCGCGAAAATCCGCTCGCGTTCCCCGTCGTTTCGTTCCCCCGTTCGGTCCTCTGTTCTTCCGAGGCGATGATGCGACCGAACCAGGCTCGGATTAAGATTTTTTGTGACCCAGGACTATCAGATTTTCGGGGACCCTTTTGGTTGAAAAGCGGCGGAGAAAGGTGGGGGGATTTTTTTGTAATACAGCACTTGAACTAAATTTTAAATTATTTTAAGTAAATTCAATAACGTTTAATCATAATTAGATTGCGGATTTTATGCATTTATAACCCCTAGGGCTCTGTGAAATATAATAGAACACAAAACTTTCATCGGATCCAATGAGTTTTCCTATTTCAGTCTGAACCCAATAAGATGCTTAAGAGGAAAAATAAATGTCTACGTTTGCACCTGTCTTTATAAATTCCTTTAGACAATGTTGTTTTTCATAAAAATCCTCAGTCTAATCATAACGAAATGGAACGTTCAGAACGGGGCCCGGGGCTATAGACCCCCTAGATCCGCCCTTGATTCAGCGCTGGACCGAACAGATTCCCGATGAACGATCAGCTTTTCCATGACGAGCACGTGGCCGTTAGAAAACACGGTTCGCCGTGAATCTCCGTCGAATTCAGCGCTGGACCGAACAGATTCCCGATGAACGATCAGCTTTTCCATGACGAGCACGTGGCCGTCAGAAAACACGGTTCGCCGTGAATCTCCGTCGAACGAAGGAAAACACGATTTTTTTTACTGTTTTCAGTCGATCGTCGGTGGCGAGAACAAAGGGTGATGGACCGAAGGCTATCGAACGCGAAGATGGAGTCGTGGGCGTTGTTCTCCCTACCTCTGATCCTGGCTTTGCTCTGCTCGATCGGTTCGTGCAACGCCTCGGAGGGTATAATAGGTGAGTTTAAGTACGATTAACGGACATTCGATCGTCGACGACCACTCGCGGTTTTCCTTGTGTCGGTGAATTTAACGTCGATTCGATTCTTCTTCCGATTGCGATCGTGCCCGCGATCGAAAGTCGATCGCGTTCCCCGTTCGCGAAGGCGCGTCATGCTCCATTTACGAGTTTTAAACGCTCTATTCTTAGTCTATCTCCATTATCTGTCGGTCTATTTGCGTCGAGTCCGGTCGAATCTCGTACTCGATGACTCGGTTCGTTCGGGTATCGGTAGACCGGGATGGGAATGCGCGTGTCTGTCTTGCTTTCTTCCCGTGCTCCAACTGAGATTAATCCTTTACTTTAATTAACTTCAATATTCGGATAATTGATTTTACTGCTACATTCGACAGTACTTTGAAACGACAATAAGTAAACATAAAGAGAAAAATATATAATGGAACGAGCACGTTTGACCTAATACAAAAATGGCTGCCAACCTAACCTAAACACGACAAAAATGGCGGCAAGGCGCACAACGATTGCAGCGCCACACAAGCATATAATAGAGCGCAGTATGCAAAACATGCAAAGCTTTTATGAATGTTTACAGCTTATTACAACAGACTAGAGTGCTACCGAGTAATTTCCCAACGAAACTGGAGCGATCTTATTAATTTTCATTCGTAAAAATAACCCCAAATACACCTATCACTAAAATCGGGCATTTCACGTTCATGAACCTGATTACAAAAAAATCTATTATTCGAATATAATTGTGCCCAACACTGGTTGACACGCTGGTTCGCTCGCTCGTTCGCCTGTCTATCGGTTCCGGGCCGAACGGGTTACGCAATCACCTGGATAATGCTCGATCGACGATGGCCCATCACACACGATGGTACATCACTCGAGTCGAATCTCGTACCCTTCGATTTCACCGAGAAACGTATCGATGTATCGCGAACGGTCTTCGCTTTCGCGGTTTTCGCATAATGAAATCGAGCGTCAGAAGGGGCACGGAGAGAAAGAGAGAGGATCGTGCTCGCGTCAAAGAGTGTCTGTGTGTGTATGTAAGAAAGAGAAAAAGGGAAGGGAGAAAAAGAGAGAGAGAGAGAGAGAGAGAGAGAGAGAGAGAGGGGCGAAGGAAACAGAGTCGCGAACGCTAACGTCGCGTCCTTTCTGGTACTCATTCCTGCGCACTTGAAGCAGTTCGAATCGAGATTCCCGCGGGCGCTTTCGATCTCGTCTTATCTCGATTCGGACGTCACTTGTTCCGTAATATCAACGACAAAACACGTCGCCGAGGTGGACGGATAACAACGGAACCAGATTCGAACGGCGAACGGGTGTCGATCGCGGAAAACGAGCCGAGCCACCGGTTGCGCTCGATCGACGGGAAAGTGGAGAACGGCCTTGAAAATCGGCGCGCGTCGGGGGAATGGGTTGGCCGTGTTAAATCAAACGAATCGGTGGATTTTTCGAGCGGCGACGGACAACGACGACAAAGACGAGAAAGACAAAAAAAAGGTGGTCGCGGTGTTGCGTCGAACTGCGCGAGTGGGGGAGTCGCTGAAGCACGTTTTTAAAGAAGGTTGCTTGAAGTGTGCAGGAAATACGTGCGCGAGAGACGCCCGAGAGGGACATTGGCGGTGGCTACGCCGAGCTAGCAGCCGGGGATCATTTACGATCATGGATTCCGACTGGGAAGTGGAAGTGGTTCCACGGCGAATCCTCGATACGCCGTAGAGTATTGTCCCGTTTTGGTTAGCGCGTCGTCACGTCGGATCGGGATCGAACACGTACACGTCCCGAAACGATCGAGGGGAACCTCTCACCACGTAAGTAGCAGTTCGTTTCGTTTCGTCCTGTCCTTTCTCGTTCCGTTCCGTTTCGTTTCGTTCCGTTCCGTTTCGGTTCGTCCCGTCCCTTCTCGTTCCGTTCCGTTCCGTTTCGTTTCGTCCCGTCCCTTCTCGTTCCGTTCCGTTCCGTTTCGTTTCGTCCCGTCCCTTCTTGTTCCGTTCCGTTTCGTCCCGTCCCTTCTCGTTCCGTTCCGTGTCGTTTCGTCCCGTCCCTTCTCGTTCCGTTCCGTTTCGTTTCGTCTCGTCCTGTTCCGTCTCGTTCCGTTCCGGTTCGTTTTCTCTCGTCCTGTTCCGTCTCGTTCCGTTCCGTTTCGGAGGAAAAGAGGTCGGGGCTCACGGTCGTGCAGGAACCGTGGCACGTGGAACGCGAAGGTCGATCGTGTGGATTCATCGCGTCGAGAAATCGATATCGTGCGACCGCGAAGCGCACCGGCCGCCCACTTCACCGCGCGGTGACGCGTCGATCCGTTTCCACATTACCGGATATTCTTTTTCGCTTCGTGATTAGCGTAGCGGGTTTGATTGCAGGTAGCCGAGAAACGTGCGACGTCGAGGGAGAAGATTTCACCGTCGACAAGATCCCGAACACCAAGTGTTTCAACTGCATATGCAAGGTAACTACTGTGATTCCTCGACGAATGCGACATGAGCAAATGAGCAGCCTATTCCTACCACTAGGGAGTAGGTTGGAGGAACCAATCAAAACAGAGTACACAGAAGCTAGCAAGGGCTCGGCTTTGGGTAAATAACAAATTTATGAGAGGCTGAAAACCTTTCCGCCTTTGTATGATTGGCTTCGAAGCGGACGCGAGTACGTTGCACTTATCGAGACAGTACTGTATGTACGTCGAGACACACGCGATCGTATACCAAGTTGGGTATGTAATCTAATTACAAAATCTAAATTGTAATTGCGAGATAATTACAATTCCAATTACATTGTAATTTTTATTGTAAATTTAGCATAAATAATTACAATGTAATTGTTATTTGGGTTTTGTAATTAGATTACATTTTGACGTAGTAACGACGTAAGGTCTTGCAGTGTTTAACCATTGGTCGGCGAAATACCCCTCTTGCCACAGTGCCGTTTGTAGCAGCCGGGCAACTCGGTAGATTACGATACCATACGGTACATATACACAGAGATACATAGATATTCGTTGGAAAAGGTCGTCTCGCCTCGCGCGGTTCGGTCACGCTATCTAGACCTATCGGGCTGAAAAATGCTTTCGAGTATCGTCCGGCTTCGACTCGGGTCGCACGATGTTCACAAGTATAGACGCGATGTTAGCAGAACTGTCCGGCAATTATCAGCGCGTTTGGTTCGTTGACTCGTTGAACTCGCGGGGAGAATCTTGTTTTCTCGGGTTGCGCGATCACCGGACTCCAGATGCGAATCGTGCCAGCTGCGAGAGCGACACAATTATCCCGGCTCGACTTCGTCCGATTTCGCATCGTTCGGGGGAGGATCGAAGATGTGGATCCCGTATTCACTGCGACATCATCGCGAAACATCCATTTCTCCTCTTTGGCTTGTTCCTTTCGATTTCACTGGGAGAACGAAAACCTCATTTTAACCACTCGTGTACACACACGAGCAAACTAGACTTCCACTAGGGGAAAAAGTGACGTAGGTGAAGGGCCTCCTACCCACTTGGGAAATTTATTTCAAGTACTGAAATAAATGTTAAATCGAATCTTAATTTGGCACTTATTTCAGTAATTTCCAATCCCAAGTCGTAGGAGCATGGTAAAAGGTCTTTTCTTTACATTACTTTTTCCCCTAGCGGAAGCCGAATTTGTACGTGAGTGTACCCTCGCGAGCAAGCTCGGCTTCCGCTAGGGGAAAAAGTGATATAAGGGAAAGACCTCATACCACTTGGTACTGGGAAATATTGAAATTTATGCCAAATTAACATTCGATTTAACATTCACTTCAGTACTTGAAATAATATCAAGTGATAATAATAAACAACGAAGAATACATACTAATTTTTAAAAACGCAAATAGTAACGTAGAATTCATCTACAAACTGTATGTTTTAAGGATCAAGAGTAGGATCATAACAAATTCACTCAACGAAAACAGATCACACTCGTGATCGTGATTCTGCGATCACTGTGATAAATCACCGTTAGTGATTTTGCACACCATCTCTAGTAATACATACACCTCGTGTCACGGCGGATAACGCGCGTCTGCGCATGCGCGCGCATTCACCGGTCGTAATCTTTGTTATTTTCGAGAGCCGCGACCTTCTCGGCTGTCGCTGCGCGACTATCCGTGACCCGTGTTAAATTGCTTTACGCAATTCGGCCGCGAGATATATCCCCCAAGGGTTTAATTATAGGTCGCGATAACGAGCGTGAGATAGAGAGAGAGGGAACCTGTGGTATATATCACTCGGGGACGCGAGAACAGCCGATAGCCCGAACAGAGAATGAATTCGAGACGCGTCGCGGTCCCGCGACCACCATAGTTCCCCCACCCTCCCCATCCACGAGAAACTCTTTCCTTTTCCAGAAGTAGAATCTGTATAATACACTTTTTTTTACACGGAAGATACGTTCCTCGAAAAATCGTGTTTAAGAAAAATTTTTTCCTTCGACCGTATTATTTGAAAATCGTGTAGAAAAAGAGTTAGGTTATGCAAATGATTATCCACGTCTCATCCTTGTTTTTTTTTCTTCTTTTTTTTTATCTCTGTCCACAGAACGGTTTCGTCGAGTGCCGAAAGCAGCACGAGTGTCCCAGCATCGAAGGCTGTTACACGTTGCTGGAGCCACGGGAGGAAGAGTGCTGTCACAGGTGTAAAGGTAACAGAATAGCAACGTTAATCATCCCATCCCTCTGGTAGTAGAGTAAAGTAGCCTGACACAGTTTATAATTTCTAACATATCATAAAGTACACTTCCTACATTTAAAACCTGTGTCGTATTTCAATGAAAGTACTTCTAATCGAAAATTATGCACACTTCAAAAAATGGGTCTCATATTCGGCTACTTTACTCCGTAGTCCGAAACAATCGCTACGCTCGGTCGCTTTGGTTGCTCGCGGTTCACGAGCACGCGGTAAAAGAAAGAAGAGGACGACGGAGTCGTTCAGCGAGAGGAATGCCCCGGGGGCCCCGTAGAGAGCATTGTTCTCGCGGCACAATGCCGCTTCTGTTCGTCGATACGGCGATAAACCCGAGGAACTTCGGCATCGCCGCGCCATTCGTCCGACTGTTTACACCGGGAACCCTAGACAAACAAATATGTACGCACACTTCGGCTTGGGAACCGCGCGGCCTCTTTATCTCACTCTGTCTCTATTAATTATGCTAACCGTGACGCAAGCTCGTCCCTATTCGCGGGCGACCAATCGACCAACGAAATTCCTCTCGTAACTCGAGAAACACTTTAACCCCTTGCCTTATAACATCGAGTCGGACACGTGATAACGATTTCAAACTGAATTCAAGTGAACATGTATGTTACTCGTGTTCTTTGAATCGACGTGAAATACTGTTTCGCTGGTACGAACCTCTGAGCTTTAGAATAAATGTAAGATAATAATAATTTTAAATATATGTAACGGTTGCCATAAGCAGACTGCGGATTCTATGCATTTACAGAGCTCTGCGAAATAGAGGAAACGAACAAATTTCCATGAGATGTAATGAGTTTTTTTTTATATGATTCTGAACATAATGAGATCCTTAAAAGAAATGGGGAAGTCATGCATTTACTCTGGTCTTTTCGAATTACTTTAGAAACTGTGATTTTCCATAAAAATACACAGTCTGGCCATAAGAATAGAATTCCTTTTTTATCGAGGAAAATATTAATGATAAAGTAGTTCTCGAGACAGAAGTCGTAAACAAAATTGTAAGGCAAGGAGTTAATCGCGGATACCAGAGGTGCTGCCCTGCCCGCGATCTAGAGCTTAAGTATTTCACGGTACTTTTCCGTTGAATTCGTTCGGAGCGACGCGGCACCACCATCGTTCATTCGTGACTTTTTTCGCGTAACGAAAATTCTTGATTTTCTAATCGACAGGGTGTACAAGAAACGGGGTGTACCATGAGTCCGAGACCGAGTGGACGGAGGGAAATGACCCGTGTAAAGTATTCACCTGCAAGGCTGGGGTTATCACCGAATCACGATTGCACTGTTACACGCCTTGCTCGAAACCGATTCCTGCCCCACCGGGTCAATGCTGTCCCGTATGCGCGGGTAGGTTCCGCGGGACAGGAGCAACGATTTTGAAATGGACTCGCGAGGAGACTCATGAGGTGATATGAAACAAGTTTTTCCTTTGCAAAAATGTCATCCGAGGCTTTGTTAACGAGATAACAGACTCCTCTCGATTATTGTCCCGAATTCGGGTCCACGCCAGGACAATAATCTCGTAGGGAGAAATGCTTCAGACCCTCGTGAATTTGTTTTTTGCCTGAAGCCCGAGACTCGGCGACAAAGTATGCGCTTGACAATGGTGGGGGATAACGACTGGACAATAATCGTGTAGAGCAAGCCAGATGATAATCAAGAGGAGTCTGTAGTAGCGGAAAACCCCGACCAATTAGAGCGCGAGTGTAGCGGCCGAGTTCCCGCGGTAACGTTGGTTACGCGCTGCGATTGGTAGTCGATGCTACCGCGGGAGATCGGCCGGCAGACTCGCGCTCTGATTGGTCGGAGTTTTTCGTTAATATCTCGTTAACAAAGCCTCGGACAACATGTTTGCTAAGGAAAAACTTGTTTCAAATCGCCTCACGAGTCTCCCATTTACGGGTCCTCCAATATTTTTGTTGTACAAACTATTCGTTTCTGTTGGCTCCGCAGGATGCCACGTGAACGGACAAATGGTGACGGCGGACAGAACCGTGACGACTACCGAGGATCCATGCGTGACCTGCAGATGCAACGCGGGACGATTGATCTGCGCGAAACAAGCCTGTCCGGTGCTGCACTGCCCGTCTTCGAGAATAATTCACGATTCTGGCGAGTGTTGTCCCCGGTGCAAAGGTGGGTTTTTAGCTGCCTCGAGACCTTCACGACCCTTTTCGATCGTGCTTTCGATACGTGTCGTGAAGTTTGCCCCCCCCCCCATTTTGTGAAAAATTAAAAAATGATTATTGTATTAGTTTGTACTATTTTTGAAACAAGTTTTTCGTTACTATCTCTTTAACAAAGCCACGGATAACATTTTTGCTAAGGAAAAACTTGTTTCGAATCACCTCATTTTTACACTGGTCCACCATTTTTCCCGACTGACGCGAACAGGTAGCGGGCGATACCTGTCACCGCCGAAAGGCGCGTGCATGCTCGGCACGATGATCTACAATTCGGGGAAGCAGTTCTACGCGGACCAATGCACGCGATGCAGCTGCTCTAATTCGGCTGTGAGCTGCGTCCGAGAGACCTGCCCGGTCCACGACTGTCCGAACGAGCATCAGATCGTTCTACCGGGTCGTTGTTGTCCCCAGTGTCCCGAGATCGAGGAGGTTCGACCATCGTGCTCGTACGCCGGCAAAACATACGGGGCGAGTATTTTTCGTCGGTTCGACTTATCCCGTTCGACACGTGAACCGCGAGTTTCGACAGATTTCGACTATCGACCAGTTTCCCCGGGGTTTAAAGGTGCTTTTTTTGCCCTAGGCAGGATGGTGAAACTTGGAAGCTTGACTCGTGCAAGGCATGCGCTTGCACTCAGGGCAAGGTGCGCTGCGTGATGCCGATGTGCCCGTCATTGAATCTACCCTGCCCGCCGAATTCGAGGTTGGAACACCCGGAGGGCCAGTGTTGTCCACGCTGCGTCGAAAGTAATATTTCGACTATTAAGGCCCGTTTATACACATCCGTTCCGTGTACTACCTAGTGGTGGGCACCATCGACTAAATTAAACTATCGACTAATGATTATTTAGTCGCAACATACTATCGACTATCTAGTCGATAGTTTTTAGTCAACTGAAATTTTGCTTTATAGGTTATGTATAGATTATGTCATCAACTTTTCAGCACCATTGGTGTATTTACCTTTTGAAAATCTATTAGTTCATAGATGGAATTTCAAAAATATAAGTGGTAAAGAAGTTTTTTTAAACAATTACTAACATTCGATTTTTTGTAAGCTATTTAATATCGGCAGTTAAAAAATTAACTGCTCTAAATTTTTTATGAAAATCAATTAGGTTATAAGCAATAATTTGCACAGTTCTTGGTAATGCATAAAAAAATATATGGAAAAATTACAATTCGTTTGCATCACGAAGAAGATAATCAAGATCCAGTCAATAGCGATCAATAGCTCGATAGTTCGAGCGTGTCGCTTGAAGCGACTAAATTTAATCGACTAAAGTAGTCGCTTCAAGCGACTAATATTATTCGCCTCAAGTTAGTCGCTTCAAGCGACTAAAGTAGTCGACGATTGACAAATATTAGTCGACTGAAAGTAGTCGTTGGTTACTATCGACTTAGTCGATAGTTTTTAGTCGATGGTGCCCATCACTAGTCCTACAAGTCGGAGTACGTAGCCACCGCTAGCGCGGGACCTCCGGCTGGCAAACTCGCGCTGTGATTGGTCGGGATTTTTCGTTAATATCTCGTTAACGAAGCCTTAGATTACATTCTTGTTAAGGAAAAACTTGTTCCAATTCACCCCTCGAGTGCCCCATTTCCGGGTCGGGCAACATTTTTGTTACACCCTGTATACAGATCAGTGCTCCCCCCCCCCCCGAACATGGCAATATAATTAGAGTCTACTGTAATACTATATAATATGTACACTCTGGTTTCGTGTTGTCTACAGGCGACGGTGTCTGCACCGTGTTCGGCGATCCCCATTATCGCACGTTCGACGGGAAGTTTTACAGCTTCAAGGGAGCTTGCAAGTACCAGTTGGCCAGCGATTGCGCGGGTCACACGTTCAGCGTGAGGGTGACCAACGACGCCAAATCGACCAAGTTCTCCGCGTGGACCAAAACGATCGCCGTGAAGGTGGGAAAAAACTCGACTCGGTTACGGATCTCCCTGCACAGTTCAGAAAAACAATGTCATAAACGCGTGCGCGGATCTTCATGTGTTCTACGGTGATCGTAGGTCGGCGATCTGAAGGTGAATCTCGGTCAAAAGATGCGAGTCAAGGTGAACGGGAAGAAGGTCGAGGTGCCGTACCGGGTGCCGAACCGATTGGAGGTGAACCGAACGTCGGACAGCGTGATCGTGAGCACGCAGATCGGCATCAAGGTTCTATGGGACGGCATCAGTTTTCTCGAGGTGTCCGCCCCGACTTCGTACAGAGGACGGCTCTGCGGTCTTTGCGGAAACTTCAATTCCCTCCCGAAGGACGATTTTACGAATCGCAGGGGCAGACTGTTGCAGGATCCGCAACCGTTCGGTCAGTCCTGGGCGGTTGGAGCGAAAAGAAGTTGCGTCAGACCTAAACCGGCGGCTAATCTCGACCGTGAGAGACGTTGCAGAGGACGAAAGGATCACCGGTAAGCAACAACGTCTAAACTCAGAGTTGGGCAAATTGTATAACGAATAACGATTTTATTCAACCAAAAATTATTCGTTATTCGCTTTAGAGAGTTATTCGAATACGATTTTATTCGTTATTCGAACTGATTTAAAGACGAATAAACGTGACTCCCGACATCTATAGACAGATCTATCGTGAAAGTTAAAAAATGACCGAGTTTGTTTCATGTCATGGAAACGTAATCTATGGAAATGTAGGGTTCCAGTAATTTTATAAAATATAGGTCCTCCACTGATCGTATCAGAAACGATCGCGAAAAATTACGAATCACCGTGAAAACTCACGGTGATTGTTCCTGCCATCTCTAATTTTGATCGATTTCGCAGGTTGTGCAATCGGTTGCGATCCCAGATTTTCGACGCGTGCCACAAGAAGGTGAACCCGACGATGTACTACAAGGCTTGCCTGCAGGACATGTGCGAGTGCCCTACCGAGAATTGCTACTGCGAATCGTTCACCGCGTACGCGCACGAGTGCAAGAGACTCGGGATTCAGTTGTCGCATTGGCGAAAATCGACCAGGTGTCGAACCGGTTGGGATCAGACAGCCGCCGCTGTCGCCGTAGGTTCGACGGTGCTCGGCTCGCGTTTCCCTTGATTCTCGTCGTTCGAATCGGGACTGGGTTGGTCGTGGTCGCTCTGCCGTCACATGGCCAACTCTAGTACAGTTCCAGAACATGTGATGTGGTAACACTGTATATGTCGCTTTTATAAGCATATTTAATAAGGGCCAGTTGACTCATTCACATGTAAATTTACCTAGCAGGTACTACAACATGCGACCAATATCTCCTTAAAGGCCCATTATACCCATCCGTGCCGTGTCCGTCGCCATCCGTGGCACCGACAGTCCGAGCGCCCGGATCGAACACGGAACGGACACGTAACGGACACGTAACGGACACGGAATGTACACGGAACGGACACGGAACGGAGAGGGAACGGACACGGAACGGACACGGAACGGAGAGGGAACGGACACGGAACGGACACGGTCCGAATATGTATAAATGGCCTATAATTTTCATAGTACTAACGACAGCGTTGCCAAAATTACTATGTTCCGGCCTTGTACCAGAGTTGGCCGTGGCCGTGATCGTCGACCGAGGAACGCGATCGATCTGTTCCGTTTATGGCGACGAAGCACCGAAACACGCGCCATCTTGATTCGAGGTGTGTGTGTGTGTCTCGAACACGCGGTTTTCCGGCATCGATTCTCGCAAACGCCGCGAAACTCCGCGAGCCATCCCTTCCTCTCCGCGTTTGTTCGTTCGCTCGTCTCCTCACGCGTGTCTCTCTCTGTCCGTGTCTCTCTGATCGTCGCGGATGAACGAGCCAGGCCAAACGCGGGAGACCGCTCGAGGAATAAACCTTTACTAGTCACCCACCGTTTCTCCCGCGCGTTCGACAGCCCCCCCCCCCCCCGAAATCCTCCTTCGCCCAGCGTTCGCTGAACGAACAATGAACAATAAACAACGAACGACGCTCGCCGACGCGCAACGAGAACGGATATCGTCGCGAACGGTTCCGGAACACCGTGCAGTATTTCGGCCGATGAGCAGGCTCGCGGCATAGCATCTACGTCCCACGCGCCCCCCCCCCCTCTTTCCTCCGTCGCTCGATTCTTTCGAATTCTTCGTTTCTTCTAGATTTAACGAGATAACCCCACCGCGAGCTACACTGGCAGAAATGTCTAGAAAGTTGTTTTTTTGTGAATTGTAATTATTCCGAATCGGTGAAAATGATTTGTGTTTAGTAGCATTTTGGGATTAGTTAACACTAACCGTACCCGAGACTTTTATATACCTGTTTGTACCGTATGTAAAACCGATCATTTGAACGGTGGTCGGTACGGTTAGTGTTAAAGAAGGCGTACTTACATATCGGTTTCAAAAAATTAATATAACATTTGTTTAAAAAAAATATATATATATAATTCAACGGAAAATAATTGTTTTTCACTGTTTCTATGTTGGTATGTACATAGTGTAACCTCTATTTTTTTTTTAATGAAAATACGAAAACAGATCGATGGAGCAGTAAAATTGGTGGTATTTTGAAAATATCTATGGAAATGATGATGACTTTATAGAAATTTCGGCCAGTGTCTCGCACGCGTCTAGCTCCACGTACACAGGGTGATTTCCGTGGTTCCGCGGCACGACCGAGATCCGAACAAGACGGCCTGATTCGATTTTTCGCGTAAGTACGTGCACTAGTCGCGCGTAAAGCAGCGTTTACACTAGGCAATCGACTAAAAAGATTTACCCTATAGAAGGCTTCGACTTAATTCTGTCTTTTACATTAGCAATGGTTAATTCCTCTAAATCCATTTTTTTTATTATTCCTTTCATTGCGGTTTTCTTTAAATTTAAATTTTTTTATGTATTACTTGTACTGTTCCATACACATTCCTGGTGTCGACAGAGGTCTATAAATGTATTTATATTTTATTAATTCCAATCTAATTTAGACATTTTCGTCCGTCTACGAGCGATTTCATAAAATTATGAACGTTCTGTTTCAGTCGCCCGTGAAATATGATTTTAAGGTGTTTAAATCATCAGGTTGTTCAACCAACGGGGAATTATTAGTTGAACGACTAAAAATCGTTTCGACTTGTTTAAAATCCTATTTACACAGGCGACTTTGAACGACTTCAACTTGTCAAGTGTAGACGCCGCTTAATGCAGACGTCCAGATTCGCGTAGGACAGGGGCACAGACGTGACTCCAGATGAAAAACACTCGCCTGATCGCCCGACCGCAATTCCTTTCTTTGTTCGACGCGCTCAATCGTGCACGCGATTCTCAGTTTTCTGTTCGCTTTGCTTTTCTCCCTCTATCCTTTTTTCCACTCTCATCCTTGACCTTTCTTTCGTTTTTTCTCTCTTCTTAGCATGGTTTATCTTATCTGTTAAAAAGTGTACACAACGCGAGGACGGACGTATCCGCGCCCCTACACCTACGGCCAATGTGTTGTTTGTTTGTTTGCGCGCGCACGCGTGCTTCGATGTATGTACTGTACCGATGATATAACCGTCAACTTTTCACAAAGGAACCGTAAATATACCGGATAGTCCAAAGCTTTAGCCAATTTTTATCGACTACACTGTATAGAGGTACTCTGGTACGGATCGAATACGAGTAAAATAAATGACTTATATTCGTAATAATTAAGTACGTAGTAACTCGTCTATTTCGCAAACGAAACTAACCAACGAAAGAGGCGGCTCACTTACCGGCAACTTGTTGACACTTCCCAGTCCTATCCTCTCCGACTTCTTTGGGCATCGTGGATCTCGTTCGAATCACGTTTATCACAAACACTTGGGTCACGCGGAATAAACCGTATACTCGTAATACATACACACCCGGGAGATCGAAAATATCGACGAGAAAAACCAACCGTGATGTTCGCGTTTCAAATCATTCGTTTGGAACCGGAAGGACGCGAAGGAATGCCCGCCAGTGCGCCTCGTCGATGCTTGCCGTGTGGCGACACCTCTACGACTGATCGTAACAAACCAATGGGATCTTGACCACGGCCGGTCACTTTCGTTCTCGAACGCCATCGTTTCGCTCGAAATTTCACAGTAGGGGTCTGTTTATTGTAGGCTTTTTTTTTTTTGCAGCATAGGTACGCCCTTTGTTCACACGCATGGGTGCATCCCACTATCTCGCCACGTATACCGAGCAAACTCGGCTTCCACTAGGGGAAAAAGTGGTGTATTAAAGAGCCTCGTACCACTTGGTATCGGGAATTACTAAAATTTCTATCAAATTAACATTCGACATTAAGATTTTGTTCAGTACTTGAAATAAATTTACCAAGTGATAGGAGGCCCTTTTCTTACGTCACTTTTTCCCCTAGCGGAATCTGAGTTTGCTTGCCAGGTTACGTACGGTGTCGCGTTTAACTCGCATATTTTTCGTCGCAGAAATTGCGGTATATATAATATTGTTTTAATAGAAAGTTTTAATACCCAATGATATTCATGAATAAACTATTTTGGTACCTCTAATACTAACGGAGATAGTAACGGTGGCAATGGTGATCGAACAATGCGTACATCCGCCCACCCTACATGAATCTACGTCAACAAAAGAGCTCGCGGGTGGTTGAAGTTTGCTTAATTTAGTATTCCTGGAGATTTAGCACTCTACAGCCCCGAATGTTTGAATAAACAAGCTACTACTGTACCTGCGAAACATCTGGAATGTTTTCCTACGAATCACGATTCATTTCATGCGTTTACCCTTACCTGACCTGACCTGTCATCGCCATCATGAACGGTTATCGCGGATCGACGACTGGTGCAGCCATCTGCCGTCGTATTCTCGAAAAAGGTATACAAACCGGAAGATAAAAATGAGAGAATGAACGCCGTGATAGACCGGAAAATAGTTGGCGCCGAATGTTAACGTATCTAAACGATTTATATCTCAAAAAATTGCTCCCGAAGCATCGTTAATAGTTAATGAGAGATTCGCAGAAGAAAAAGCAAAAATTTGTTGTTAACAACAACAGCGAAATCTCTCCCCCGGTGGAGGCGTCAGAGATCCCGTGTGGTGTGATCGTGGAGTCGTAGAATCCCCGCAGGTGGCGCCAGAGACTCCGTGTGGTGAGATCCAGGGGTCACAGAACCCCCGGTGGTGGCGCCAGACACCCCGCCTAGTGAAGTCGTGGGGTCATAGAACCCCGGTGGAGGCGCCAGGGACCCGGTTGTGGTGAGATCCTGGGGTCACAGAACCCCCGGTGGAGGCGGCAGAGACCCCGTATGGTGAGATGTACCCTCACGAGCAAAGTTATTGAGATATCTGACTATTGATTATTATAAAACAGATCAGGAGCAATTTTTTGGTACCATAATATTTGTGTAAAAAGGTCATTTACAACCTATTTTGTTAACAACAAATTGTTACCTTTTCTTTTGCGAATATCTCATTAACTATTAACGGTGCTGGGGTAGCAATTTCAAATTCGGAAGGAGCAAATTGGGAGCAATTTTTTTAGATATAAATCGTTAAGATACGTTAACATTCGGGGCCAACTATTTTCCGGTCCGTGATAGCGTTTACGCGCACGGGCAAACAACGATCTTTGTCGTGACACGATCCGAAACTTTTATTATGACATTATAAATGCACAAAACATCTTAAAAATATGGGTGTACGTGTGAACGTGTATAGTCATGGGACGCGTGGTCGAGAGAACAACAGACTTGATTTATAGCTTCGCGAATAAACGGAGCTACGCGGGTAATGTTTCATAAATTTCGAGTATGTATCCTGTATTTTTTTTTTTCTCTTTATTGAGTGTTTCGCTTCTTGTTTTACATTCGACGCAATCCGAGACTTTACGCGGCGAACCGCCGTTTCATCGAAGAGACGTTCGATACGGTAACGGAACGGAATTACTCGTCGAAGAGGTCGCCTGCATCGGAAACTTCGGTCCAAATTCTTTGCAAAGAACGCAACCCACGGGAATCATTCGTTATTTCGTTACCGTTTCGGACACGCACCCGTTAATCGGTCGTATCGTATGTCTCTTGTGCCATCGAGAAGCATTTTCGAACGCGCCTATTCGTCCAGACGATGAAAAATCCGCGACGCCGGTATATTCTCGGCAGAAAGCGTAAACAACGACTATAGCGGACAAGATACGAGCGACGAAAAATGGTGACACGGCGAGAACGAAGAGAAGAATATTGGAGAACGAAAGGGTAACGGGAAGGAAGGTAATTTCTAAAAGTTTACTTCCGGCAAATGCCAACTATGCACCTCTAACGAGAAACAAGTCGACTTGATCGTCGTGAAATAAGTAAATATCGCTCGTTGGACGCGTCTTTCATCAAATCTCTCGAGCTGTCCGCGGTTGTCATTCTCCGGTCGCTTGATCGCGAACGTGTTATAAACGATTGAGAACGCTTGGTCGTTAGTGTCGACTCTCGAGCCGCTCGAATCGTTTCCCTAGTCGATAACTGCGCCTCCCGAGTTGAGATCGTGGTTTTGAAACGTGTATTAAAAATACACGTGTAATTAATATATACAATCGTGTTTCAGTCCGTGTAGTTTTTAATACACGGATACACCGGGTATTGAGAAACGCAGATACAGACCATTCCACGTCTGAACATACGGGAAATTACGGTCGTAGTTAGCCATTATTTTTTTTAAATTTACAACATTTCTATCGCTTTCCCAAGATAAACTGTAAACATTTCGTTCGACCATCTCGATAATTTATTTTTATCATCTATCGTAACATATAGAAAGGTATATGTATAGTTTATACTACCTAAATTTTATTAATTCGGTAATTTACGGAAATCGAAGAACGCCAATATTTACAGACACTTTATGAAAACTCTTAACATCCTATTAATATTATAAAACAAAACGCATGACGTTATGTTTGAAATTCAACATTAACGTCATTTATGACATTAATTTCATCGTATACAAAGTCCGTGGAATGGCTCACTATTGTGTATTTCCATACCCGTATACCCGTGTATTTCACTACCCGTGTACCGTCGTATTCCACTACCCGTGTACCCCTGTATTTGACTACCCGTGTACCCGTGTATTTCACTACCCGTGTACCCCCGTATTCCACTACCCGTGTACCCCCGTATTCCACTACCCGTGTACCCCTGTATTTGACTACCCGTGTACCCGTGTATTTCACTACTTGTATACCCCTACATTTCACTACCCGTGTATCCCTGTATTACCCTACCCGTGTATTTTATTACCCGTCTACTCATGAACCAGTGTATTTCACTACCCATGTACCCGTGTATTTTATGACCCGTGCACTCGTGTATTTAAAACTGCACAAACTGAAACGCGGGTATATTAATTACCAGTGTACACGTATTATTTATATACACGTGTAATCGATATCTCTAACTCCCGAGTATTGTGTCCGATCGGTCGTCGAACACGATCGGTATGCATTCGATATGAACTTGTCAACTTGTTCGATTATTTTCATCGGTGGTTCATTACAAGGTCGGAAATTGTGTATAGAAGCCTAGAAAGAGGGCTACGAGTAACGTTACGGTACCGTGACGAGAAGTTGCGTCGCCTATTAAGACTTGTCCTGTAGGAGAAAAGCGAATCGCCATCACGGTCGAGTGTTAACTCATTCTCTGTTTTTTTTTGTTTGTTTTTTTTTTTCGGTTTTTCCCTTAATTTTTGGTAGAAAAATAGATTCTCGAGCAAAGGTCGCGTAGTCTCGCGGTATCCGAACGAAATCGCCCGATCGTTATTCTGGTCGTACCTCGAATGTAAAATGTTCCGGGACCAATTATTTTCAGACTCGTTCGTATATATTGTCTACCGTTGAACGAGTTCCACGTCTTAGGAACCACTGTCTTCGCGAGATCGTCACCATTCGAGGCTTCGCGTCGAAAATACAGACTCCTCTTGATTATTGTCCCGAACTCGGGTCCGCGCTGGGACAATAATCTTGTAGGGAGAAATGTTTCAGATCCTCGTAAATTCGTTTTTTGACCGAAGCTCGAGTCTCGACAACAAAAGGGTAGAGGCAACAAAGTATGCACTTGACATGGTTCCACCCCCTCCCCCATGTGATGGTGATAATGCCTGGACAATAATCGAGACGAGTCTGTACCAGCAAGCATACCACGCATCTATTCGCGGTAACGAATCGAGAAACACCGCAAACGATTCCGATACTGGATTCCACGAATACCAGACTCGGTCGATCGATCGATCGATCGATCGATATCGTCGAGACCACGTGAACCCGCCCGATCGAAGAACGAGATTGGATCGCCCGTTGAATAAGGGGACGAGAAACTACGTTACGATATACTTGTTTATTGGAACACGCTTAATAAGACGCGTAATTAATATGTTCGATTCGTTCGAAAATTACGCGAACTCGTATCTTTCCAATTGCATGGACCTGCCGGGGTGTGGTCGATAGGACGAAAAAGGAAATATGTGTATTCGTATACCTATAACCATTCTAACGATTGCAACGGTACTATTGTTGCACTCTTTTCCGTAACCTATATATTCTAACCGTGTGAACGGCAACGAAAGTATCTATCGTTTTGTCTCGAGATCGGTTCGAATGTTGCCGAACCGCCGATATTGCCGCCTCTAGTCTGACCGTGTCGTAGGAAACGGTCGTTCGCTACGCGGCAACGGATATCGATGAACCGAGAGAACTTTGGAACGAACGAATCGAAAGATTAGGAAAATGGTGCTCGAGTCGAGGGGAGAAAGGTACGAGCCTTTGTGAAAACCGTCGATTCTCGTAAGTATCCAAGTTTCATTCTTCACCTACCGGTCGTCCTACTCGTTTTGTCTCGCGTTCTATCCCGCGGAAAACGGTTTGGCCTTCGCTCGACGACTAGCGTAGGTGTATAAAAAAAAGAACAAAAAAAAAAATGGATACATCCGTGAAACCCGACAGACAGGCTCTGATCGATTACCCTCCACGACGATTACGTGCATCGATCGAGATTCCAAAGCGATTGATCGATCCTACGTGAAGTTGAAGAATGAGAGGCTCACAGACTTCTATACATATATACAGGGTGAGTCACCTAATGTTTGCACCTCAAATATTATGTTATTTTTTTTTTTTTTTAGAGATATCAAGGTCACCTTAATTTTTTAAAATTGGAACCAGCCTTTTTTCCGTGACCTTGAATTACCTTGAATAATTACAGTCACTGAATTCCTAATGAAAGGGAATATCATTGTAGATGTTTAAAAAATGTGATTCCATTTTTAAAAAATGAATGTGACCTTGATATCTCTAAAAATAATGACATAAAAACAAAAATTTTTTGGTATCGTATGAGCCCCATTGAACCATTCACCATTGTCCTTAAGACATGCGATGGATTTTTAAAAACAACAATGGTATTTGAAGTGCAAACGTGTCAGGTGACTCATCCTGTATAGAAGTCTGTGGAGAGATAATTCCCTCGTTCCTTCGGAATGCTCTTCTGAATCGACGCTCAGCGATTTTTCTCTAAATCGTTCCCGTACCTCGATCATTCGAGCCAGGACGAGAAAGCGTCTGTTGTATCACTGGAGCCTGGAGAACAAGGGTTTCAGGCACGAGACGAATTCTTAGGAAATACTTGAAAGTCTTCGCGTGGTTTCGAACGAACGCAAAAGACTGGAAGAGATGAAACCGAAAAAGGCCACCGCCATTTAAAAACGAGTCCACGGAAACGCGATGAAAACGATGAAACCGGTAGATAATGGGGAAAAAGTAAAGAAAGTCAATGTCCGACCGGACGAACAAACGAGCATAATTCGTCGTTATCGTCCGTCCTGATTGTCGAGGGCACGATACACTTCCGTCCCTATCAATTAGCCATAACAACCGTCGAACGATTTGACGTATCCTCGCCTCGCAACAAATTATACGAAGTTATGTACATAGGGTACATGTATTTTGATAATTCTCCATCCACGTCCGTTCGAAAGAGATCCTGTCCTGCGATCTCGTTCGTCAGGATCGCCGTTAATCGAAATATCAGCTCGTCGCGAGACCGAGCAATCGAATCATTCGATTTTACGCGGCCGTGATGCACGCGTTTATTGATTGTACTTGTGTATATGTATACTAAGAAGACTTATCGAGGTTCGGAGTTCGACCGACGAGAAGTGCAACGTTAACGGGGATACCGATAGAAACATATGGCATCGTATTACACGATAAATCCAGGGCCGAATCAAGGGGGTCTAGAGGGGATTCTAACCACGGGTCCCACATTCCAGGCGGGCCCGTTCTGAACTTTCCATTTCGTTATAATTAAATGTTATTTAATTTTATTTGAAATAAATTTCAATTTTAGAAGATTTATGTATTTTGTTGGGCTGTATTAGAAAAAATCTAAACCTCCCACTTTCCAACCAAGGGGCCCCCGAAAATGTGATAGCCCTGGGGCCCCGAAAAAATCTTAATCGGGCCTGGATAGATCGTAACGATGAACGGAACTGTACGTGTATATGTACGAGCGTGTATGTATAATAATGTTCCGTATCTCGTCTCCCCTGGAAGGCGACCGTGGAGACTATCGAAAAAAATACCGCGATCCAATTGGTACCTAGACGTAGACGGAGAACGAGGACAGCGATTGGGAGGCGTTCCCGTTTCGTTTGGTCGCAGCACGAAATGATTTCCCATCGCGATCGTTCGCGTATATATATATATATATATATATATACCGACGCTTTTCCAGTTCGTCGAATCGATTGACCCGAACGGGAAAAAAAACCGGGAAATCTGACGGACCGTGACTGATGGTTGCCAGCAATTGTGTGAACACAAGCACGGCAACCGACGTGTTTCGGATCCGTCGAATACTAGATTGGATAAGAAAGGATATATCCATCTGAGAACGGAGGGGAACACGGGAAGGAAGAATAGGATGTGGAGCAGGAGTAGGGGAGTCAAGAGGAAAGTGAAAGCCCTGAGTAGCAAGAAGGAATATGAACACCCCGTGGGAATGAACGGGGGTGAAACGTGCGACGAGGTTACCACTAACGAGAAAATCAATCGATCCGTGTTTAAACGTGTTGCACGAATTCGGGATTGAGAAAAGAGAAACCCATGAACTCGGTCTGATCCAAATTCATCATGAACAACTTGTCCGTGGGCGTCAGATCTGTCTTCTCCGAGGTGAACTGTTTGTCGAAGTTGTTCACGTCTTTGCGGTGTTTCTATCGAACAGAAGTAAAAGGGAATGATGGTTAGGGGCTGTTGGTCGTTTGGTGGCGATACCTGAACGGTAACGCTGATCATGGGGTGGGTGGTACTCACGATCTTTGGCTTGAACGGCGGTTGCACCTCGCGATTCTCGATCTTCACCCAGTCGATGTGCCGGAAGAACGTGTGGCTCCTGACATCTTCCTCACCCCGAAATCCGCAGCCCAGTCTCTTCACCGGATTCTTCGTGAGGAACTTGAACGGGGAAAGGAAGCACAATGGTTGGAAGGTTGCAGAAATTGATACTCAAGTATCATATAGTTGACTCTAACTATATTGCCATGGTTGGGACTGTAGAGGAGTAAAATGGCAATGACTTCAGAGCCCCTTCCATGATCTGTTCATAGACATATGGTAGGGATAGGGAGCGCGAAAGTACGTGTAAAGGGGAAGTGCCATGCGTGGCAATATAGTTAGAGTCCACTGTACCAGCATACGTTTCTCACAAGGACTGCTTTACCGGTGGTCCCCATCGATTTGAACGAAACTGCGCATGATCCTTAGGTATAAATATATGAAAGACATTTGTAAAATATGTATTAGCCACCAATGGTAATCAATTTTTGAAAAATTCGAAGTCACAGTTTGGAAAACTCATTCCATTCGGCGGTCATTAGTGAAGCAGCCCTTGCCAGAGACAAGGAGAGAAAGAGAGTTTCGCCACCAACTACGTATAAGAATAGACCTTTCATTTTATGGGAGTTAGTGGTCCACCTAAACTGTAATACCGACACCTTAAAAACTCTGTGATTTTAGCGACCTCTACATTATGAGAACGGTGAATCTACGGTGGATAGTGACACTACAATGGAAATGAGGTTATGTTATCTGAGGTATATTCTTATACCTCATCTGTGGCTTCGCTTACCGCCTTGCAAATTTCTCTGGCCTCCTTGGTCAGACTTTTCGGATAACTGACGTTATGATCCTTGATGGCGTCGAACAGCTCGTCCTCGTCCTCACCGTCGAACGGCGGCTGACCAACCAGCATTTCGTAGAGCAACACGCCGTACGCCCACCAGTCGACCGACTTTCCATACGGTTGGTACAGGATGATCTGCAACGATAAAACGAACCGTGCGGTTGGTTCCGCGATCGCGTCCAAGGTTTATCTACTGGTTGTCGACCGATTCGGTGTAAACGAAAACCGTGACCGAAACCGACTTCGGGTGCGATGTAGTCGGGCGTCCCGCAGAATGTTTTGGTGGTTTTGTCGCCGCTGATACCCTCTTTGCACATCCCAAAGTCTGCGATCTTGATGTGCCCGTCCTGGTCGAGTAAAACGTTGTCTAGCTTCAGGTCCCGATAAATGATGCCCCGGCTGTGCAGATAGAAGAGACCGATCGCGATCTCGGACGCGTAGAATCTGCGAAAATCGTGTAAGTACCTCTTGCGGTTGTTGTTCAGGACTGGCGAGGCTTATAGGTCCCGTCACGAGCAAACTCGACTCCTCCTAGGGGAAAAAAGAGGCGTAGGGACAAGGGCTTCCTACCACTTGGTAAATTCATTTCAAGTAAATGTTAAACCGAATGTTAATTTGGCATAAATTTCAGTAACTATGCCAAGTGATAGCAGGCCTTTCCCTTACGTCACTTTTTCCCCGTAGTGGAAGCCAAATTTGCTCGTCGGTGTACATAAGTATACAATACGCGATACTCACACTGCCACTGGTTCTTTGAACTTGCCGCACTGTTGTATCTGGTACATTAAATCCCCTCCGTTCACGTACTCCATCACGAAGTAAAGACGATCCATGGTTTGAAAGCAAGAATGTAGTTGCACTAAAAACGGAGGCTTGCTCGACAAGGCCAGAACACGTTTCTCGACCATTGCGCACTCCATGTCCTCGTCCTGGATGATAATGTCCTTTTTGAGGATCTTGATGGCGTACAGTTCGTCGGTACCTTTTCGTTCCGCTAGCATCACCTGAAATTCGTTGGTACGCGGTTACCGTCGTTAATCCGATCATATTCGTAATTAACGCAGAATTCAGTGCTGTCCAATTTGGCTCTATAGAGCCAACAACAGCCATCCCCCAACACTGCACAGCACCCCCCAATGTGGGGTGATCCCTTAAAGACGCCAAGTGTACTTTCGAACTTTGCCACGAAGCGAGGGCACTGCGGTCTTATGGTTCAGTCGCAGTTGTATACATTCTTTGTGGCGCATCAGAGCGCATGCGCCTATTCTTGCATTTAAAATATGATGTATGTATAATATGATTGCAGCGCTGTGTGGCTAGCGGAAGATTCACGAAACTTTTTTGGTCTTCCTTACAGGATCACTCCCACCACAGGTGTTTTCCGACCTGTGTCGTGGTTGCAGTGGAGTAACAGAAACAGAAGTCCGAGCTTCTTTGTTTCTACAAAGGCACAACACGAAAGAATGATTGAAAAAGGGACCAAACGAGAGGCTCCCCTCGAAAGCCAAATTAGACAGCCTGGCGTAAGTAAAGCTTTTCATGGCAGAGTCTCTCTAGCCGAGCAGTCAAACGACTGACTTTTCCGAAGCTGCCCTTGCCGAGCACCATCAGGAAATTGAAGTCGCTCGCCCTGATCAGATCGCTCTTGCCCATGTTGTGCGGCACCTCTTTGTCCTGGGCGGTGGTGGCCTTCTTCGTGACCGAAGTTTTCTACGAGCGAAAGTTACAACATGAAGACAGGAGGATCCTTTCTTTATTGTCTATTCCACGTGGACAAACAACGCATTTGTACACCCACCAACTCGGCTTCCGTTAAGGGAAAAAGTGAGGTAAGCGAAGGAAGGGCCTCCTACCATTTAGTTTTGGGGCGTTACTAAAATTTCTGCCAAATTAATATTCCGTTTAACATTTCTTTCACTACTTGAAATAAATTTATTAACTGGTAGAAAACTTTTTTTTCTATACCACTTTTTCCCCTAGCGGAAGCTGAGTTTGTTCACGAGGGAACGCAACGTACTCGCATCTTGACTTTCAACTCGGCAAGATCGACACCCTCCTCCGGCACCGGCACGTTGTAATACTCTCCTTCTTCGGCGGTGAGAAGCTTGAACCATCCGCTCGCCGGTGCCTTCATCAGTTCCGATATACCGAACGACAGGGAACCCATGAAATCGTTTCGGGACGTTCGATCCCAATCCCAAACCTCGATCAACAGCCGCCGGTCTTTGTCCTCGGGCTTCAAGTCGCTGCAACGAGACAGATCATCCGCCCAGTCAGACTAACATCGCGTCGATCCCAGCGAGAAGAAATATTGGAACTGAAGAAGGAACAGCAACTTACAAAACGATAGTCTCGTTCCATTCTGGGTTTAAGCAGGACTTGATCGTCTTTGTTTTTTTCTTCACGTTGTCCGAATCCGGGATTAACTTCAGCTTGACGTAGGGATCCGACAGGCCGTTTGGATCCATCGGAATCAGGTTTCGACCCTGGTTCACTGAAATCCGTTCCAACAGAATTTTTTCGGGTACGTGATACACTCCCTTGCGGACACATTTGCGAATATTCGATTAAACGTTTCGTTTTCTTCCGCTTCGCGTCGCGATTCAACCTTGAATCGAAACGACCAAGCGTTTTTCAGCCGATAACGATGCTCTAATTATAAAAGATCACGCCTTCGTCGAGGCCCTTGTGCCGCCATAATCTTCCAGCTGACACGTGAAAAACGTTCGACGGGAAAACGTCGATAAATCGATCGAGAGATATTTTTACTGACTAACGATTGGCCGCGGGGACGCGGACAGAGAGACTAATTGAAACCGTTCGTGCAGCGAAATGAAAATGAAATCACCGCGTCGGTATAGAGGTATGTGTTACAGGCTGTTCTCGATTATCGTCCCGAATTAGGGTCCACGGTGGGACAATAATCGCATAGGGGGTCAAAGTAAAGAAATCCAAAAACAAGAGTCACACCCTAATGTACATATGAACTGAGAAGCCAATCAGTCTAAGTCACAAAGTTAACAGATAAAAAATTATTCATATGCAGGGGATATACAGAGTGTCCCAAAATACCTTCGACTCCCCGAAATGAAGGGTTTCTGGGGTGATTTAAGACTTTTAAACTTTTTCCTTATCGAAAATGTTATCCGAGGCTTAGTTATTAATGAAAACCCACGGACCAATCAGAGTTTACCTGTCAAGTTTCCGCGGTAGCGTTGGCTACGCGTTACGATTGGTAGCTCTGATTGGTCGGGGGTTTGTCGTTGATATCTCATTAACAAAGCCTCGGATAACATTTTAAGGAGAACATTATAAGCCTCGGATACATTTGTTTCGAACTCATTTCCGGGAGTCGAAGCCATTTTGGGACACCCTGTATACATATGAAACTGGTTGCGTATAAAATAAACCATGAATGTGTTTTTACACGGCGCAAATCATTTATAATAAAACGAGTGACTTACATCGATTCACTTCTGAACCCTCCATATGTACCTGTAGATATACACGTGTCTTGGTTGCACTTACCCTCGACGGTGAGCTTGTTTCCTGTACAGGTGATGTTCAAGTTCATACGACCGCGTCTTTCGGTGTGGTCGCATCCACAGAGATTCGGCACGCTCTCCTCGCATCTCTTATGTACGTTCATGTCGCATGCTGCGTCATTAGATCACGATCAATTATCATAACGTCGTTCGACGTTCGCTGGGCATTGGCGTCGCGGCCAGGCCACCGGCAACCTCGTTTCGCTTGCCACCAACGCATTCTCTTTAAAAATTTCGCTTCGAGCAATAGATTGGATGCAGAATAGGCGTGTGTTTCTTTACGCGTTTCGCCCTCTAACGAAACTGCAGCCGCCTCTTGTCCCTACGTTTTTATTTTTTATTTCAGTCGATCAATTTTATTGCAGTTATCGCAGTATATACTCCCTACCACTTAGTCTGTTTCTTCTATCTTCTTTAGGGGGAATTTCCTCGAGGAGAATACACTGGACGATGCTACGCGACACGAAACAGCGGCTGCAGTCGAAAATGCAGACACATACGCGCGAGACACTGCGAAGAAACGTTCCCAAACACACCACGAACGGCGTCCGACGTGCAATCCAAAATTTAAGTGAGCCCTCGATGAGTGCGACACGCGCAACGACGTTATTCCCATCACCGGAGGGAGGTCCCCCTTTGAAATCAATGAAAAAAGAGTAAACAGAAGTCAAGCAGAGGCTCGGCTTCGAGTAAAAAAAGAAATCTTGAGTGGCTAAAAGCCTTTCCGCCTTGTCATGGAATGCTCAGAGTATGTCGCACTCATCGAGACCGTTCACCCGTTACTTCGAATACGCATTTCGGAACTGTGCCACGATATTTTAGATACGCTCGTTGCAACACGAACAAGAAAATGATCCGACGGAACAACGATCGACGATCGGTAGAGGCGAACGATATGTGAGAGCGAAACGTGGAACGTTCGTTGCCCCGCGCGTAAGTTGCGAAACCGCGTTAAGAAACGATAAGGGAGAACGCGTACGCAGTTTCGTCGAACGATGATGGTACATGTAATTTCGAATTTCACGGGTCTATGTACACGAAGGAATATCCATATTGCGGATTGTCCCATCATTTTGGGACACCATGTATCTGTGACGAGTTAACTCGTCAACGTGCGAGGACAGGTACGCAATTAAAAAACCGCACGACCGTCAAAAGGGAAACAACTGCGTTCGCGTTTACTCTCGGCAAAAGGATGGACGGCAAAACAGCTACGTATAGGTACATGTACACGCTCGTACACACACGCACACACCACCTATTACACCCACACATGTACAATACAACACAGCTACGAGCATGCATGAGATACAATTACGTAGCTACTACGCTCAGAGATCTAAATGTATATCGCGAGTACGTGTCGTATGTACAACGTCGTAAAAATACCTTTTATGTACAAGGCGGTGAGCTCTTAAACGTGCGTCGTTATACGGCAAAAAGTAAACACAAGTACCCTGCCTTCTTTTTTTTTTTTACATTTTTTTTTTTTTTATTTCTTCTTGTTCGATACGCACGAGGTTTTACGAACGACGTTCTCGCTACGGACGAGCATCGAACCAAAGAACTAGCTGGCTATGGTTCGGTCGCGAGGAGCCGAACCAACACGGTTACGGGAACAGGGTATATAAAAGGGGAAAAGGGGGAAGGATTTGTGCGAGATACTCGAAACTGTGGAGGGATACGATAGATACTTCGATAACACGGAACGCGTCGAGCTTGTTTAACGGTTCATCGAACGAAATCGTAGACTTGTCGACGCTATTGAAAAATGTTCTGATCTCTTTTTTTTCTTTTTTTTTTTTTTTCACTCGATGAGAAGCGCGCGAGCACTCGAAACGACACCCTGGATAATCGAGAAGACTCGAATTCACGAAGTACTGATTCGCCTGGATTCGAGGACGCGACGAGGCGATCGTGAAAGCTGACGAAAGAGTTCGGATGGGATCGGTAGGTATAGGTCAGAGACTTCTAATCAGGGCCACGAAATCACGTCTAAATTAGGTTGACGAACGCCATTTTTAGGCGAAGGTGTTATAAATTGCGGCATAGTGGCGAAATATACAGATTCCTCTCGACTATTGTCTGGCTCGTTCTACACGATTATTGTCCAGGTGTTATTCCCACCACTAGGGAGGCTAAAAAACGTATTTACTAGGGTCTGAAGCATTCCTCCCTACAAGATTATTGTCCCGGGGCCGACCTGAGTTCGGGACAATAATCGAGATGAGTCTGTATATACCGCTATATTATTATATAATGAATTGCTCGGAGATTATAAAACTATATCATTTATTTCAATTTTTATGTACGTACTTCTCTTATTGTTATAACTCTGTACTAAAGGGTATTTATCCCGTTAATAAATTATTATTATTATTATACCGCCATTTATGACACCTTTGCCCAAAAATTCGGCGGCACCGATCAAAATCGACGACGGGATTTCGTGACTCTGATTAGAGGGTCTCTAATACAATTGGAATAGTCTCTGAAGGTAAGAAGTCGCATCTCGGGAGTTTTATTCTCGAAACCAGGCGATGAAACGCGAGGCTGTAGCGGCCTATTAATAGGTAAACAAGTGCGGAGATCTAGCCGTACTGCAAATGGATGCATCGCGGGTCGAGTTTTTTTTTTTTTTCTTTTTTTTTGTCTTTAATGCATATTAACTACCTGAACATTTAAGTCCCTGATGCGCGATACCGTGAAGCATCGAGCCGCAGTGGTCGCAGAACGTTGGCGTCAGGTACGTGAAAACCTCCCATTTGTGTGCGGTGCTCATCTGGGAACACAAAACAGGGGCCCGGAGAAACCCGGTCCTTCATTCTGGTTTGATCCTATGGGTAAGTTCGAGAGTGACAGATAGAAAGAGAGAGAGAGAGAGAGAGAGAGAGAGAGAGAGAAATAGAGATAGAGAGATAGAGATAGATAGATAGATAGAGAAGGGGGAGGTGGGTGGAAAGAAGGAATGAAAGAGAGGCGATGGGAAATCGCCGATCGATAGCTAATGACGGATCCACTTCTCTTCTATGGAACGGTGCATCGCTACTTCGAAACCCTGTCACAGTTTCATTTGTTTGCGAATTACAACGCCGATTACAACACAATCGCAGAAAAGACCGACTGGGATCGGCACAAATCGCTGATGATCGCGATATAGGAAGACCAAGGCAAGCAGGGAACAATATCTGGGATAATTTTCAAGAAGGAAAATTTTTTACGGCAACGAATTGATGGTGATCGATGCTCTCGAAGTGATCGAAGTATAGTCGGTTCCTTGGATGCCGTTGACAAAGCTACCAACTCGAGTAGCGGAATTGAATTCGGTACTTGGCTGCTGTTGAGACTCTTCTCAAGGGGTCCTTTTGCCCGACAAACGGAAACGGAACGAATAGAAGAGAAAGTGTGCAAAGTAGCACGAGAAGAAGACGGAGAAAAGGAGACCTAGAATAGACGAGGAAAGAAACGCGAACTCGATATATTTCACTTGGGTTTTTTCTGGTTCTTTCTGACTGATCATCCCTACTTTTGCAGCTTCTGGTTTCAGTTTTTTTTCCGCGAGCTCGTCCTCTCAGTGGTACGTCGTGGACGTTCCGTCACGTTGAACGCGATGGATTATTCACTGGGGCCAGTGCCGGATTAAAATTTTCTTGGGGGGCCCCGATCTAAGCTTTCCATTTAGGTTAAAAAATAATTCAATGAAATTTTGTTCACCGTTTCCTTTTAGAAATAATTATAAATTTGTGTACTAAATGTAGAAATAAATCGGATCGATATTGTTAAAATATAACGAAGCATTCTTGCATGTAATCAAACGTTCGTTATGATTAAATGTTATGGTACCGGGAATAAATTTCAATTTTTTAAGATTTATGTATTTTATTGTATGTTTTATTCGAAAAATGACACCCTCCCCCTTTCAACCAAAGAGGTCCCTGAAGGTTTTACAACCCTGGGCCACAAAATATCTTAATTCGGGCCTGACCGCGCTCCGAATAATTCGTATCCGTACGTTATTCGAAGAACCCTAACAAAGGAATAAATAGATCTCAGAGTATTCCCAATCGCAAATTCATGACCAGAAGAAAATGAAAAATAAATAAATAAATAAACCAAATAAACGGTGCGGGACTAGTGTTGCCGAGAGGCTGGTAGAAGCGGAGGGACACAGAGCACATGAACACAAACTGTACAATAAATAGAGCGAAAGAACGGTTATGTACAATTGGAATTGGAAAATATCGTACGGCGAGGATCGTTCGGATCGTCTTCACGGCCGAGCACGGCCGCGGTGTGCTGGTCCAAGCTTTTCTCGTCCATTCCGCTAAACTAATCGATGCGTGCTGCTTTCCACTACTCCCGACCTCATTTTGAAAAACTAATAGATTTCTATACAGGGTGTAACAAAAGTGTTGTCGGTCCCTGAAATGGATTACTCGTTGGATGATTTGGAACAAGTTTTCCCTTAGCAAAAATGTTGTGCGGGGCTTTGTTAACGAGATATTAACAAAAAAACCCCGACCAATTGGAGCGCGAGTCTGCCGGCCGAGCTGCCACGGTAGAGTCAGCTACGCTGCGATTGGTAGGGGGGCGGGAGCTCGGCCGGCAGACTCGTGCTCCGGTTGGTCCGGGGTTTTTCGTTAATATCTCGTTAACGAAGCCTCTAATAACATTTTTTCAAAGGAAAAACTTGTTCCGAATCACCCAACGAGTAATCCATCGCAGAGACCTACAAAATTGTTGTTAGACCCTATATAGTTTCACGGTGCTGAACTCGCTGGCAATTCTATCGTTTTCAACGGTTCCCACGCGTTCTACGAGTCGTCGCTGCGTTTCATGAACGTCCATGAACGGAAACGTTCCAGTAGCAAACGCTCCAGACGTCGAGCCGTAAATACGTTCCACTCGCGGAACATCGACGGCGGTTGTAAAGTGGCGACGGAATCGTCGAAAGTAGCGCAAAGTGTGTAAAGCATCGTGATCCGGAGGCCAAGCTAAATACGTGTCTCGCTGGTGTTACGACTAGTTGGAGCCAACACCAACGAAAATGCAAAGTTTCTGCAGCGCACGATGCGGATTTCACGGAGAGGAGAACAACATTCGAACCGTGTGGAGTAGGAGGAAAACACACGTGGGCACGCATACAGTCTCGGACGAGAGAGGACACGTGACGACGACACGAAGAAAATTCTGCGCCGTAAAACAATAACAGGAGATGCGTCTAGCGATGGGCAACGTCGGGTTTCCAACACTTTTCTCATTTTCAGAACGCTAGAACCGCGAGGAACTGCTTGGAAACGTCTTCCCACCGCTAGATTCGTCACCGCGTAGATATGTACACGAGAAGGGTGAAGATTGAAAGAAAAATAGAAACAGAGAGAAATCGAAAGAAAGATACACGAAAGCGAACAACGACGGTGTAGAACGTGCGCGGGAGAGAAATACAGAGAGAGAAGAAGACACAGAAGAGGAGGAAGAAGAAAAAATGGAGAGAAAGACGAACAGATTTTATTGAGATTTTTTAAAGCCGCGATTCCCTTTCTGTCCTGCTCTCTAGCTTTTTCTTCTCTCTCTTTGTTCCCCTCTTACCGCAAACAGTAATCAGGTACAGTTTTCTGTGCGCACATACAGTGTGTAACAAAAGTCTTGTAGATCCCTGAAGTGGGTCACTCGTGAGGTGAGTTGGAACAAGTTTTTCCTTAACGAAAATGTTTTCCGAGGCTTTGTATTATTAACGAAAAACACACAATCGCAGCGCGCAGCCAACGGTACCTAGGAAGCTTGGCCGGCAGACGGGCGCTCTGATTGGTCGGTCTTTTTCGTTAATTCCTTTCGATTATTGTCTGGCTTCTTCTACACGATTATTGTCCAAGCGTTATTCCCACCACTAGGGGTCCTAAAAAAACGAATTTACTAGGGTCTGAAGCATTTCTCCCTACAAGATTATTGTCCCAGCGCGTTCAGGACAATAATCAAGACAAATCTGTATCTCGTTAACAAAGCGTCGGACAACATTTTCGCTAAGGAAAAACTTGTTCCAAATCACCCGACGAGTAATCATCCATTTCAAGGACCTACAACATTTTTCTTACACCCTGTAGAAGGGAACGCGATACACACGAGGAATACAACGAAGGAAAGCCTGCCGTGAGGTATATATTGTATATGTACATATATACACGTGTACGAGGTGCGATGAAATTCGCGAACCTTACCAGAGAGTAGGTATCTTTTCCGGAAGGGAAACGAACGACGCGACGCCCAGTGTTACGAAACGTCTCGGATCGATCGATCTCGCAACAATTTATTTCCAACGGTAACCAGTCGATTTTCCGACGGTCGTTGCCTCTACTTCCGATTGGGACGGAACGAGGCGAGACGATTTCGCAACACTCGAGCGCGCCCCGGAAACAAGACAAGTCGAGAGACGATTTATACTGCTGTGATCGTGTCTTCGATACCAGCTAAGCTAGGGTAGCGCCGCCGTTTCGCGACACGCTCTCAAGCTTCGCGAATAAATATTTACATCGATGGAACAGGAACATTAGCAACAGCAAGAACAAGAAGAAGAAGAAGAAGAAGAAGATGATGAATTAGGTGAACGAGAACAATTACAAGAACCATATTAGAAGTATATGTATATACCAAGAATATTAGAGGAACAAGACGAAGATAAAGCAACACCCATAGTACGTACAAACGGTGGGCCAAAGAAAAAAGAAATGTACGATTCGGTATAACATGTGCGACAGTGTCCGTGTCCTTTTTTTTTTTTTTTTCTTATCGTGTGTCTGTGTGCGTGTGACTGGTTGCGTGTTCTCGTATTTTATTTTATATATCTATATTATTTTTTTTTTTTTTTTCATTCATTTTCTTTGCTTTTTAATATGGTACCTTGGCACTTCATGCCCTGGTGGATGACACCATAGAGAAGACTACCGCAGTGGTCACAGAAGGTGGGGCTGTTGTAGGTATGTTGCTTGAATTGGTGCTTCGTCCGCGTGTCCTGCGTTATTACACCATTACACCGTGCACACACACGCAGACTGTTTGGTTCATGGCGAGGAAATCGTGAATCGGGATTGTGGACGGAGGATCCGATCAGTCTCGACCAATTTCACCGACATCCGTTCGAGGCTTAACCCTTTGCACTCTGAATTTTCTAATTCCCCATATATTTTGTCCCTTCGGAAGGGACAAGTGCGAAGGATTAATATATTCAACATAGTTGGCGTTACAACAAAAATAAATTAATAATGCTTATAAATGATCAGATTCTCATGTTCTCAATTATTGCAGCTCATTTATACTTTTGTGCTCCTTCAGGGTGTGTTAGAAACAATCATATATTTTATTATACTGTATAATATATTGATGTAACTGTTTCCAATCTTATTTTCATTAAATGTTATATACGTATACTTTGTTTATACCCGTTAAATAACTAAAAAGTGTTTGGATGTAGGCAACGTGGGTCGATCGGTAATTTTGCGAATCAGTGAGACACGCGCGGCACGAGACAAGACGCCAGCTGCGCTCCATTAAGCTATCGTAGGTTTGGTATCGTCGTCCATCAAATTCCAGAAGCGCGAACTCGATTATTGCCCTCCCCTTGACTCGTTAGCGGCGACCGCTTCGTTCCGGCTAATTGTACGCGTCCGAGAATCGACGCCCGTGCGCGTTGATCTTCGAGCCTATTTTCTCGACGATCGCGGTACGATCATTTCGATCAGCCATACACAACCTACGACCCCACCATTGGCGTAACTAGGTAGGGGCCAGGGTGGGACTGAAGTTATGGAAATATATAAAAAAAAAAAAATCATTCGTCAGTTGGTAAAATCTTATGTTATAAAAAATAAATACATGAACCGAAATGTAATACGCAACGCAACTAAGTACAAAAAATACAATACAATTCTGATTACGTTAAAGTATTGTAAAATTGTATTAGAATTAAGCTATTTAATTTTTACATTCTACTTAACTAATAATTCTATAATATCAATTGAAAGGTAATTAAAGGTAAAAGTAACGTTGTTCGTTGAGTATGGCTGATCTAGATTATAGACTGCAGTTTTATATTTGTATAACAACATTCCGTTTCGTGAAACGGAAGTGATGCGTCGGGGAAATCGGCGAGCGATCGAAGGGTTATGGTTAAGGGGACGCACATTTTTACGGGTTGTCGAGAAATAGACGTCTTCGAAGCACAGAAGCACGGGGGGAATCAGCATCAGGACGGAGGATAGACGCTAGGACATTGATCGTTTTAAACGAAATTTCCCAACGTAAATAAAAAAAAACCGGTTTTATTTCATCGCGATCGCCGGAGAAACGTTCGCGACTCGTCGAGGCACGTTCGAAAACAATCCAGCCGAGATTATCGGTCGAAATTCCGCGAGTATAGCGCCTCTTCGAGTTATAGTGACTTCGTAAAAAGAGCAGGGTTTCGGATCTTCCACGCCTTTAACCCTTGTGTGGACGATCAAAATTGTTCACGGTTATCGAGCAATTAGAAAACCCCTATTCTGACAGATTAGGTAAACATAAATACTTTAAGGCATTCCTACATAGAGTACTAAGAACTATTTAATCTCAGTTAATATTTTATTAAAAATTTCCTATCGCGACTAATTCCATATTGTATAATATATTGATGTAACTGTTTCTAATCTTATTTTCATTAATTCTTGTGTAATGTGTAAATAAACAATTTTACTACCATACTTTTTCAAAACTCTTAGCTTCCCCTTCCTATAATATACCCAGTACTGTTTTAGACAAGAAAATAAAAAATTGTGAAAGGCAATTTAGAAATGTGTACCCGGTTGCCTACACAAGGGTTAAGGGTTTCGGTGGCAAGTTCAGTGTCGTGGGACGACCAACTTTTTTTGAAGAAGTACCAAATGACACATTTAGGGGATTGTACTCTCAAGGGTATCACATTGCACCACTGAGAAAAGGGTCACACCTAAAGTTATTATAGCTCGGTGAGGCACTATACGCGAGTCGGAAACGTTGCTCAAAGTCCAACCGAATTCGGCCAACGAATCTCCTCGTATTCCGTCCCCATAATTATACTTCGTGTTACAAGCGTGGTTAAACGAAGCGCAGAAAACGCTTAGGCCAATCGTGCGCGGTGCGAGAAAACGTGGAGAAATATATAGCTGTCTTCCGATCGTTCGACTCGTCGGCTCGTTACGTCGGTTCGTTTCATCATTTTCCGCTTGTATGTTTTGCATCTTCGTTCGATAATCGAACGTTTCAAGGTTTTTGGATTTAGTAACGGGTTGGTGGGTGGGTGGAAGGGTAGTTTAATTTTGGTGGTGGTGGTTGGTCGATCTGTGCTATAGGTAAGGGTATGTGACCGAGCCAATCTAATTGACGAAATAGTCGGGGCGACAAGTTTACTCGTTTTACGAGTAAAACAGCCGCCCCGAACCGAACCGATCCAAACCGCACTGAACGGAACCGAATCGAATCGAATCAAATCGAACCGAATCGAATCGAACCGAATTGACTCGAATCGAACTGAATTGACTCGAATCGAATCGAATCAAATCGAACTGAATTGACTCGAATCGAACTGAATTGACTCGAATCGAATCGAATCAAATCGAATCAAATCGAACTGAATCGAACCGAATCGAACGAACGAGAGAAAGGCGCGATAAACTGCGCCGAGAAAGAAAAACAAATAATCGAAAGAAACGGAATCGCGTGTAACGTTACGGTACATATGTACGTTTCGATACTTACGTCCGAGTCAGCACCTTTGTCAGCTCCCGGACACGTGAACGTCACGTATTCGTGACATCGCTTGTGAACGACGAAGCTGCAGACTGAAACAAAAGCAAAACGTAGCGAAACTTCTTCGAAAGGATTGTGTTTCTACAAAGAGTCGACGACGACGACGACGACGACGACGACGACGACCACGTCGATCCGAACGCGTCTTACCTTGGCATTGATATCCTTGTTTCCCGAATCCCCTGAAACAGACGTTTGCCTCGCGGTTAATTTACCCGATGATTCGTCGATCGATTAGAAATGTTATAGGTATGTAATAGTATGTATACGCTTCCGTATCGGTTCGATCTAGTGATGGGCGATACATGCCAATTGTATCGATGTTTCGTATCGCTACATATCGGTGGTGAAAATATCAGAAACGAAGTATCGATTATCGGTACTTTTAACTCATTATCTGTAATCTGTACTGAAAAAAACGTTTAAATAACAAATATCTCACTATACTTCATTTGATGATTTGTTGTATTAGTATAAAAAAGGGTTTCCACCCGTATGAATTGAATTAAATTGAATATCAATATTTCGATATTCGAAAGTATCGATATTCCGATATATCGATACCGTATCGTCCATCACTAGTTCGAACAGCGAGAAAAAGATCGTAAATCGAGGAACATTCTGCTGCGACGAGAGGTGGAAATGAGCAACGGGAGAAGGAAGGGATCCGCGAAACACGGATAAACGACGAATAGAAATACAGAAAGGGTCGAGGTAAAGGGACGCGAGGAGAAGGAAAGCCGAGCAAATCCACGATTAGCCTACATTCCTTCGCCTCCTTCCCCGTTTAAGCGCACGCAGTTGGGCATAGGCGAGGATTCCCGTAGCAGAGTAAGAGTTTCGGGGAACGGCGAAGAACCTCCTCCATCCTCGATCGAAAAATGATCGGATATGTCGGTTCGAGGGCAAACGAGAAATCCTAACCCTGTCCGTTTCGGTTCGCATCAGCTTGCGCCGACGTTTACCGGGATAACGAAACAACGAGTCGATACAGTCTATTTTCGATGCGGCATGCGCGTGCCTTCGACGTACGCCCTTTCGTCAATTAAGGTCGAATTACTCGATCGTTCGGATCGGCAGCGTATCCAGTCCAGCCGTTCGAGATAAAGCTAAAAGGACATAAGGCCAACGTCCCTATTTCGAATCATTAGACTGCAGATTTTATGCATTTATAGCACATAGGGCTCTGTGAAATACAATAAAAAACAAAACTTCCATCGGATCCAGAGTTTTCTATTTTATTCTGAACCGAACAGGATACTTCAGAGGGAAAATAAATTTCTACGATTACTCCTATGATAATCGCGAAGAGACTGTAGTAGTATTAGTAGTAAGGCAAAGCGATACCCGATATACGGATGATTTTTATAGTGAAATTAATAATAATAGTAGTATTAGTAGTACCACAAAGCAATACCCAATATACGAAAGCTAAGTATGTGCCGAGAGCGTGGAAAAGGAGAATCAAAATAGAGAGAGAAAGAAGAGAGGGAAACGTGACGAAAATTCGCGAACACGAACGATTTCGCCGACACACAAAACTCGGCAACCGGTAACGATATAACAGAGCAAAACTTCAAGTGGAATGTCCCATCAACGTCACGCTGGACCAGGCCAAGTGCGAGCTACAAGTGTTTCTCGTCTCTCGACGGGCACTCACTCAATTATGGTCGACGCGTAACGTCAGAGGATCGGTTGACCAGTCGCGCTTCAGACGCCGACTGGAGGAACCAACCGTTCGAAATATCCGTTCGATATCGGTTAGGCGAGAACATCTTTCGGAAGTTCTTTTCGGTTCGCTGTCACGATCCAGACCCAGGGACCGTATTCGATTTTACTCTTTCCGATGGTAAAATCTATTTTATTTTAGGTCGTCTAGTATTTAATATAGATACATAATAGTCTAAAAATAATATTCAAAAAAAAAGTTCATCATATAGTGGAATTAATGCAATGTTCGCCGCTTCTAGATGTCGAGACTTCTCTGAAGGCAATTCAATAGTTCGAAAGTTGAATTTTCACCGAACGGTTCCAAAGTCACAAGATTTTTGGCACCTTTGATTTGCTCTCTTCAAAAGTTTGCAAAACGTAACTTAATACACTTTAGCCCTGGCGTCCAGATACATGTATATCGTTCTCGCTCGTAACCTTACTCTCGCGGACAATCCTCTATAGATACGCGAATCCACCGAAAGCCTTTTGTCACGGCCTAATTGGATGCGCTCGCTCGGTGTCCATCGATTTTCTACCCGCTGCTTCTCTTTGCGGCAACGGACCAGCAAAAATTCCCAAAGACAGACCCGAACACCCTCCCCAACTGCGACCGTAACCACCCTCCCTCCTTTCACTCTTCGTCCAGAACAGAAATCCTTTCTGGCCCGCAAATACCCGAGGCTAGAGGGACACGCATAATACCCGTGGTGTCTCCGGCACTGACACGCGTTCCATTTCTCGGACCATCCGGTTCTTGTCTCGGTTATCCCCGGAAGTGGAAAACGTGTCACCGAACAGTTGAATCGTTTAATTGCGGTTGTAACGGGGGCTAAGCGAATGCACACGATGGTAAACAACGGACACATACACTCCCTTTCACAAATATTAGGACACTTATCAAATATACAGGGTGTACCAAAATAACTTCGACTCCTGGAAATGAGGGTGTCCTGGGATAATTTGGAACAACTTTTTCCTTAACGAAAATCTTGTCCGAGGCTTTGTTGAGGAGATATTAACGAAAAACCCCGACCAATCAGAGCGCGAGTCTGACGGCCGAGCTTCCGCTGTAGCGTTAGGGCTACCAATCGTAACGCGTACCCAACCCTACCGCGGAAGCTCGGCCGGCAGACTCGCGCTCTGATTGGTCGGAGTTTTTTGTTAATATCTGTGGGATCGGTAACTCCATACCCAACAAAGGAGCAAAATAACATCTTGGGAAAATAGGAGGGTTCCGTGGAGTAGTGGGTAGAGTCTCTGCTTACGGCGCCGGGGGTCGTGAGTTCGAATCCCGCTTGGGCCCTCTCATTTTTCTAACACTCCTACATTTGGGGGCTCGTCCGGGAGGGAGGCATCTACGACCACACGAGGACGATGACGATGACGATGACGAAGAGAGGGGCATGTCTCCCAAAAAGTGAATAGTGGGGAGAGTGTTACCCGAAAAAGACGAAGAGAGGGGCACGTCTCCCAGAAGTTGAAAAGTAGTGGGAGAGTGTTACCGAAAAAGACGAGGAGAAAAGACGTGCGCAGAAGACATTCGAGGGCGAATGTCAGCGCAGGATGGCCGAGTGTGGGATCGGGAACTCCATACTCAATCAGAAGTTGAAAAGTAGTGGGAGAGTGTTACCGAAAAAGACGAGGAGAAAAGACGTGCGCAGAAAACATTCGAGGGCGAATGTCAGCGCAGGATGGCCGAGTGTGGGATCGGGAACTCCATACTCATCAAAAAGGAGCGAAATAACATCTTGGGAAAATAGGAGGGTTCCGTGGAGTAGTGGGTAGAGTCTCTGCTTTCGGCGCCGGGGGTCGTGAGTTCGAATCCCGCTTGGGCCCTCTCATTTTTCCAACACTTCTACATATCTCGTTAACAGGAGTATCACATTTTCTTCATACCAACCGGGTGTCCTAATACTTATGCACGGTAGTGTACATCCCTGTAAAGGGTGGTCGGTGGAGACACGGGATCGCGCAAACAACAAAACGAGAGGTGATCGCTCGATTTCGGTGGAGAATTCAACAGGCGGTTTGCGTTGGCCTTTGGCCAGAACACGCTCGTTTTCGTGGAACGCGTTTTTTTAAATCGCGTGGCGCCTCGCGAACGACCGCGAACAAGACGAGTTTACGAACCGATAGCATCCCACCACTGTCACCACCTTTCCCCATTCGCGATTCCTATTGCTTTCTTCTTCGGTTCGCGAAACTAGGAGACAAGCTCCATACGCTAGTCCATCGGAGGTCAGCGTATATGTACAGACTCTTCTCGATTATTGTCGCGAACTTGGATCTGCGTCTGAACAATAATCTTATAGGGAGAAATACTTCAGACCCTCGTAAATTCGTTTTTTTTTGCCCGAATCTCGGCAACAAAGTATGCGCTTGACAGCCCCCCCCCCCCTTCTCCCCCCCCCAGTGGTGGGGATAACGTCTGGACAATAATCGTGTAGGACAAGCCAGACGATAATCGAGAGGAGTCTGTATATACTGCTATACTATACTGCCATTTCCTATGCCCCTTTTCCATCCCAGTGGCGGGGATGACGCCTGGACAATAATCGTGTAGGACAAGCCAGATGATATTCGAGAAAAGTCTGTATGTATCTACTGGTGTCGCATCGATGAGATCAACGGGGGATAGATTCTCATCCATTTCTCGGAGAACGACGAGGATTATCGGGATTCGTGGTCCGATATCCAGTAATCCCGTGCACGAGCGAGAGAACACGGAACAAGTCCGTTTGCTTTCGTGATCGTGGACCAGGTCGACCACCATCGGTGATCGTCGACGGAGGGTGGGTTGACCGATTTCCCCAGATAGGGATGAACCGATCCAGGTAAATACAAGTAAATGATTGATAATTTCGTTTCGATACCGAGTATTTTTAGTATCGATAGGTACTCTCGGTTACAATATACATACTTGCGACACTAAGTAGATATCGATACTTTTTTTTCCGATACAAGTTACGAATAAAAGTATCGATACCTTGACGGTATATCGGTTTATCCCTATTCCCAGAGGTAGCTATTCATCTTCCGCCGCCATCGAGCATCCGAGCTTTCCGAGGATTATTTTCAACGATCCCAAAATAACGGTCGTCGTGCTCGATGCTTCCACGAAATCATCTTTTCCCGGTTTCTTTTTTATTTTCCATAGATTAGCAAAGCCGACCGAGAAACCAATGGAAAATGAAACGCATGCATTCTTTTACCTGACAAAAGATAAAAATTGTCGGACTCTCTCGAGTGGCTAGGACTTTTTTTTTTTCCTTAGTTTAGTAATCTTGTTCGTACGCATGTATCCTCGGTATAGATTTGATTCGTCGACTGTTTCGTACGAACACGCGATATATCGTTTCGGTCGCTGGTGGAAAATGCAAATTCGAGAAACCTGAAAGATAACGGCTGTTTTTTTTTTTTTTTTTTTTTTTTTATTTACTTAATTTTTCGTCGCGACGTTCGTCCAGCTCGTTTCGTTCAATGTTACGAAGCTCGTGGCGCTACGCCGGTCGATATAAATTCCCTTATTCCACTCGCGGAGCAAACGATAAATTCGTCGAGCGTCCACACCGACCACGTCTATAGTACACTACGACTAGCCGACGAAAACCGGTTCTCTCGTGATCGGGCTCCCGACGTGTAATCGATGAATTTTAATTGAGTGAAATTTGTTTTCCTTCCGCGTTCCATCTACCCGGAATTCGTTTTGGTCGGGAGTCGAATGTAAATGTCATTCGCAAATTAACCGATGGACTGCGAATCCGCGGCTTTTTCCTTCCATTATTATGTAATGTTTTTCGTTTATAAACCCACGGTAGCAATAGGCAATTTAGTATATACGTATCTTAACGAATGCAATCTAAAAATTTAAAGAAAAGTAGTAAATTCTCGTTGAGCGTTCGAAGACTGAACAGCACTGACAATGAAAGGTTAAACGCTGACTTTTCAGTGAGGTTTAATGAATGATATTTGTTTCAGCCGTATATGGCCATTTTTTATGAAATATTTAATATTCACGAGCACTTTGAGCACTCATCGAGGATTTACTGTACCGTATTAATACATAGTGTATCGACGAGTTTGTGTGAAATGTAAAACGTTTTGCAGATTAATCTTCCCACGGTGATTAAAACTGTGTTAATAAAGAAATGCGCGTTTCGAAGTGACGCGCGCAGTTAAAAGCGAAACTGCCACGAGCCACGAGGCGGCCAGACATCCTTCCAGATAAAGCGAACACGGTCACGCGAAACCACATAATTCGATAACGATTTTAAATACGTTACGACCGACGATCGCGACACGTGAGTCGCCCCAACTGACAGAAGCCACCGAAGTACATAAATCCCGCGATCGGTCGCGACGAACAACCTATTCGTGGATAACGCCGATCGATGAGTTCCCAGCCTGAGAATTGGAAGAAAAATCGCGAATTCGATGTGGACGGGATCGGTTCATTTATCGTTCATATCTGTGATCCGGTTCGAATTGGTTCGAATCGGTTCGAATCGAATTGGTGCGAACTGTTTCTCGAATTGGTTTAAATTGCTTCGAGTTAGTTCGAATCGGATAAAATTGATTCGAATTGGTTTGAACTGGTTCGAATTGGTTCGAATCGGTTCGAATCGAATTGGTGCGAACTGTTTCGAATTGGTTTAAATTGCTTCGAGTTAGTTCGAATCGGATAAAATTGGTTCGAATTGGTTTAAATTGCTTCGAGTTAGTTCGAATCGGATAAAATTGGTTCGAATCGGATAAAATTGGTTCGAATTGGTTCGAGTTAGTTCGAATCGGTTCGAATCGGATCGCAGTACCACAGCTAACCGCGTCCGTCGCGATTTAACTCGATTATCCTTGGCTATATATCTGGTTAACCTAAGAATTAAACTGGAACGGAGAATCACGCGCGTAACCGAGTTTTCACGCGTTTTCACAGTCGAAGGGGAACGCAACAGCTGCAGGCAGAAGCCGTCCCCAGCATCGGACATCGGAAACGTCCGTCGCGTACGTTCGCGACGGCAAAATCGATGTCGGCGAAACAAGTTACAGTTCGGTTAGTGGGTCGCGGAGCTATTGTGCCGTCAACGCTCGCGGCATTTTCGTTTCAGCTGTCCACCGAAACCGTAAACGTTTCGATACGCACGGGTATCGATCGAATTATAGTCGGTTAACCAATCCCCTTCGAACCACGTTCGATCGCGAAACGATCCGTTATCGAAGTGTGGACGTTGGGAACGAAATTGCTCGCAATCGGGAACACACCGCGACGAATCGTCCGACGAACCACCGTTTCAAGCAATCGATCGCCCACGAACCTTCCGAAAACTCTGAATTCTTCACGTGTTACACATATATAACGTCTAGCTGCTTCAAAGATATAGCGTTAGTCATAAACGTGGTCGGCCCTTAAACCGTTAGTACTCGATCATCGGGGGCTCATTGTGTCCCACAGTATCGTAGACCACTTTCAGGTATCGGGTTCCAAGGAATAAAACGAAAAGGGTTATAATATTCGAAAGAAATTCTCGTTTTTTTAAGCTTTCATAAAAAATAAAACAGCCAGAAGTATTTTAAATCTAACATTATCACGCTATAAGCATTTGTTTAATTACATTTACACGAAAAAAACCGATCCCAAATTGACGTCGTACGATTCTGAACGATGGTCCAGCACAGTTTTTACAACTCAAGAGGATTAGGCTACCAAAACACATAAACTTTAGGGTCGGTCAGGTTTATGGCTAACGCTATATCTTTGAAGCAGCTATACTCGTGTGTGTGCGTGTGTGTGTGTGTATGCACGACCGGCTGCCACGTCGTTGTACGTCGCTCAATTTGCTAAGACGGTTCAACCGGCCAACGCTCGGTCCATTACGTTTCGCAATGTTCCACGTCCGACCTAGAAATCGGTATCCTCGAACACCACCAGCGATCGATCGAATTCGAAAGATACGTTTATACCCTGCGGTTAGATCGCGCTTTCGATTCGACTCGATTCGAATCGGTCGTTTCTAATTCGGACCAAGTGCGAGCATTCCCAAGGCCGGACCGTTTAGCGTTTAACCGCTGCTTGAGCCGCTTCACCGGCAGCTAAGGTCCACTGGATTTACGGTGTCTCCGAATAGAGACGGAGGGGACAGGAGGGAGAACAGCGAAACCAGTGGAATCGCCGACTTCCAGAAACACGCGTTTCCACAATCCGTTGGGAGAAACGCGTGACAGTGACACGCGACCGGATGCACGAGAATCGCGATCGAATATATATCTGTACATGCCTACGTTTGAATTAACAATAATAAGCATAATTTAAGAACGAGGTAAACCTTTTGACACGCAAATACAGAAACAGTGGTGGTTAAAAAAAAAAAACTAGAGCGGAAAAGATTACTAGAAAAAGATGTTACCGATCTACGTACATTAGTGTAATTATGTATGCATATCGAAGAGGAAATACACCACAAGAAAACACTTATCGAGGATAGAAAAACGCAAAAAGAAAAAACCTCTCGAATACGAGCTACCGTGTCGTTCGTACAATGACGATCGACAACGAGCCTTCCAACGAACATTCCTTACCAGATAAAGTCCTTGCAGTGGCTGCAGAATGTCGGCTGCTTGAAGAACCGTGGCATAAAGTTGTGGTTCTTGACGACATAGATGTTCTTCTTCTTCAGGGCACCTTTCCGTCCCCGGATCTTCTTCGCGAACGCTGTGGTCGCGTCCCCCGGGCCGAGCGAGTCCTCGCACGTGTTGTTCGCTTCCTGTTCGTCCGCCATCGCGTGATCCTTTTTCCCTCGTTGATTTATACGAAGAAAACGAGAAAACGACGACTGCCGATGCGGTACGTTCGCGCACGGTACCCGACACTGCCGCGGGCCGGTGATCTGCTCCGCGGCTTTTCCTCGACTGTCAACGGCGGAACTTGCACGCGGCGCACACAGCCGACCGACCCTGGCTGGCTGGCTGGCTGGTTGGCTGGCTGGCTGGAGTCGAACCCGAGGAAATCGAGACGGCCGAGCGAATCAACGGAGAGAACCGATATCGCGAGAGTTTACAGTCCACGCTCGCTAGGGGAGAGAGGATGTGTATACCCCGCACGTTTACGCGAATCGCCGTCAAACCGTTCGACGACGTGAGCTCGCGGCGATAGATGATGTGTAACGTTCCTCTCGCGTTAGCCTCTGCGCGGGCTCGTCGACGACCACCGACGACGATTCTCTGGCCTCGGCCGCCATCCCCCATCCCCTCCCGCTACCGTACCCAACCGCCACCCGCTATCACCCGACGTTTCGACCCTCTTGCTCCGTTTATACTCGTTCCTCTTTGTCTCACCTATGCGCTCGCGGTCGAGAGCGCGCGCGCACACACATATATTCTCGCCCGCGCCCGCGCTGCGACCTCCGCCGCCACCCTACGCCTCTTACCGAACCTCCCCTCGTCTCCCTAGCCACCCCCCTGCGCCACTTCTTCATTCTTTTTTTCACCTCCTCTATTTTTCTATTCCTTTTTACTAGGTTCTCGTGCATCATTTCTTCGCCGTTATCCTTATCTTCAGTTTCGTTTCCGGAGACAGGAATAAATGGGAGTGTTACTTTGGTTGGGTTAGGTTTGTACACAGTTTTTCTGCGATTATACTTTCGAATCGTGGATATTGTCTCACTGTCTCGCCGTACAAAAGGCTGCTGGCCCCTCTCTTCCTTCCTCGGTTACGTATTCTCTCGCCTATTACCGCTTCTTCGTTCTATCTACCTCAATCTCTATCTCCGTCTCTCTTTTTTTCTTCCTCCCTGAATCAAGCTCCCAACGGCCACCTCTCCCCCCTCCGCGCCTCTTGACCCCCTCCTGCGCCTCTTTTCTCTCTACACCCGTGCACGTATGTGTGGTACCTCTATACCACTTCTCCCTCTCTCGAAGCGACCGATAATTTTAGATTCTCGGCGCAGTGGCTCGACACTGCCACTGCTCAGCCTGTGCCGCGCACTAGAATATCGACATCCGACGGCCGCGAGAGCCGCGAGCACACGCGACCTCACCGAAAAACCCGAGGGAGAGTTCAAATTGTCCAGAGAGGGGAGCACGGACCAAATAGGAACCACCAGCTACCATTCTCTCGTCCTGTGTGTGCATCCTTGCATCCTTCCTTCCTTCCTTCCTTTCTTCCTTTCTTTCTTTCTTCCTTCTGACACCACCTCAACAACGTTAATCATGTGTTTCCGTAAATACAGCTTCCTTCTTCCGTGATACCATCGAAAACCAAACGCTCGAACTGTAGGCCAAAGCACGATCACCCTTCCTAAGAACAACGACCTATCATCGCGACATACTTTTCCCGAATCCATAAAATTTCGAAACATCCGTTAATTCTCGATTGATCAACATCTCATAAAAAGCATTCGTTCCGAACAAGATTTTCTATTAGTTTGGTTTCAAGATTCAACAAATTTGAACCTCGTGTAGTACCCTAAGAATCGTACTCGATAAATTCGAATCGCCTAAGATTTCGTTCTAAACCGGTCAACCGGAAAATCTGTAATCCAAGTTCTAACGCGCGGGTCAATAATACCTCCGAGCTATTTTTAATAACGAGACCGTGCACGAACTTCTCCGCGTGCCCATCAGACGCCTCTTGAAAACGCGATTACTTTCGAACTAAACGCGAAACAAATTTGAATCATTGCGCGTAAGTATGAACGTCGATGAAAACGAATAAATTTCAGATTTATCATTAAACAGTTTTACAATACATTAGATATATTTGTAGTCGTTCGATTGCCTCGATATTCGCGCCAGAGGTAACGGCAATGTCTTTTGAATCTCGCGGACCTCGTAATTATTCCCATCAACGATGGAAGACTTTAGCTGGGTTTTCAACTACCTGTACACATAGATAGGTTCATAGCGAAACCCAATGTCGAAGCTTGTATTTATATTCATTCTTTCCTGAAAGATTCTAACCTATGCATTTAGTTGTAAAATATGATGTATTTGTAACTATATACTTGTAAAGCTAAATAAACCCATAAGGGTTTAAGGAGCTTAATAATAATAAAAAAAAACGATCAGAAACATAATTGTTTCGTGTGCCGTTTAATTAATTTTTCACCGCAGTCTCGACGAACCCTAGCCGAAATGAAACTTCCCCTTATGCTCTGACATTGAACTGAATATTTATAATGAGAAATCGAAAGAAAGTCGCGGAAATTGCGATTGCGTAGTGTATTGAACGGTACCAGATTGTTTGTTGAATCTCCAATGGTCTGTCTTGTAGAAAAATAATTGTCACTTATGTTTTCGATTCGTATTCGATTTACATTAAAGTGTATTTATCGTAAGGGTGACGGTGGTTGAAAAGACAGGTGGTGCTATCCGCGGTCAAACCCCCAAGCTATTAGCCAATTGGTGCATCATTTTCACCGCTAGAATGCGCCATCAATACCCTTCGATTAGGGAATCTATGTTAACGTATCTTAACGATTTATATCTCAAAAAAATGTAAGTTGTTATTGAGATATCTGACTATTGATTATTATAAAACAGATCAGGAGCAATTTTTTGAGAATATCCCAGAAACCCATAATCTGGAGAATTATTTTTGCTCAACACGACAAATCTACATAACAATACTGGTATAAATAATTTATCTAATTATGGGGTTCTGCTGTATTCAGTCGATGCATTGAATTATGTGGAATAATTTAAGACTAGCAACCTTAACTTTGAACGCTTAATTACAAAGATATTCGCATTTTTCCATCACTAGGAATTTTCACTCATCTGTCGGTATGATTTGGCTAACAGTTTGAGCGAATTGCCACGGGTGGCGCCACCGGTCAAAAAAAAAATGGTGATATTCCGTAATTAAATGCTATTTTAACAGTGTTCTGGTCGTTTATTGTTATTCTCAATGGCAGGGCGTTAATCTACGTTCTTTCAGCTACAAATCGTGTGCTTTATCTAGACGAAAGCTATCTGTATAACGGTCTAAGAGCTGTCCAAAGTGAACTAAACGGGGTACGCCTAACACAACAAAAAAAATATGTTGCAAATAAATGTGATTTTAACAATGTTCTTGTAATTACTGGTTCCCGGCCGCTAGAAAGACCCAATCTATGTTCTTCAAACTTCGAATTTAATGCGTGACGAGGAAAAATGATGCCCGTCCTCACAAGTACTAGTTTCTAACTTCGTTCACGAAAATAGAAATTCCAAAATCTCGCGCCACACGTCTAGGGCAGTTCTGTCTTAAACTTACGCACAAACCGTAATTAAAATTATTTAAATAAAATAATTAATATTTCATATTTCTCATAAATACTAAGACAGAGTTGTTGTTTAATAATTTATGATAAAATACAAATCCACATCTTAAATGTTACTCTGTATCTCGATTTCTATTAGTTATAATTATTAACAATTTCCATTATAAAACAACTGGTGAAACATTTAACAACATATGTACCCTGGAGGTATGTAATTGTTATGAATATGACGTTGTTGAAAATATTTAACTTATTGTGAAATAATTTCACGGGAATTGAGTAATGAAAAAACTCGCAGCCAATTAGCTCATACTATTTGCTATATAACTCGTCAACTCATAGGTGATTATGACCGTCAATTATATGCCAAATAATAATGATTGCCCAGGTCTCACCACGTGGAGGTTGCTGCGAATGGAGACCCACCACCCATCGCGCCTACACCGCCCACACCCTTTGTGCTTTTTGCAACATTTTCCCCATCGAATCTAGTTGTTGATTTAATCGAAACAGCCCCCAAGATCTTTATATGAAGAGAACTCGTCACGTGAACTTCATATTAGATAAGAGAAATCTTCGTATGAAGTTCATGTGAAGCGTGAACTCATCATATGTGATCATCAGATGAAGGGATGTCTTTGTATGATGCTTTCTGAAACAGACCCTGAAAGATTAGAACGAGACACATTATTATTGGTCTTTATATGCGATGTCTTCATACGATGATTTCTGAAACAGACTCTGAAAGATTAGAACGAGACATTATTATTAGGTGTGGGTACTTCAGTTTGAATCCACGATGATTCCTGAAACAGAAAATCAAAGACATTTGATAATACGGGAATCCCTGAAATAGAAGTTCAAAGGATCACAACAAAACATGTTAATAGACATTTCATTATGCACAAATTTAAATAATAATTGCAATAACAATTTCAATATCAACATGTAATAAGCATAAAAGTATATCGATATATTTTTATACATATTTTGGTTGTATAATAGATATTAAATGTATATATCACAATAAAACATGGTTAGACATATCATTTTTCATTAATTTCCATAAGAATTTCAATAACAACATAAACATAATAAAAATACATAATATAATAACATGGTTTTGTAGACATTTTATTTCGGTCGAGTTGAAATTTAATCCCACGACGATACCTAATTTGAAACAGAAAATTCAATGTATTATCTTCTCATGTTGACAAACTTGTGTTCATTGTAGGAATTTATGTAGATAATCTGAAACAGACTAATTCATTGAGTTAGAAGCTGAAAAGGAAACGGGTTAGTACACACAAAATATTAAGAATATCAGTCTTTATTATCGAAAAAAATGAATTTACTAGAACGGTATAATCTACTATTAATCGATTGAATTTAAGCAAGAAATGAATTTAAGCAAAATATTAATTTAAGCAAAATATTAACTTCAGCAAAAAATGAATTGTCTC